ATTTTACAGTATTATTAAAAGTACAAACAACTGAAATGTGAAACTAAAGTAATAAACATAAATTATTTTCAACAAAACTGCAAACCTTGAATGTACATAACTTTTTCAAATACAGTTCATGCTAATATAGGATCTGCATTTGCCGCACATGGATCGTGCACATTTAATTCATGAGATTTTTGTGTTTTTGTCATTTCTTCGTTGACATATACCACATCTCTTTCTTTTTTGGTATTGATTATTCGATTTTCTCTCTTCTATAAGTAAGATATATTCAGAACCGGAGTTATGGTTACTCTTCGGAGAAAAATCAATGTCTCGATGATCTTCATCTCACTGAAGCCTCTTGTTCATCAAACCACTCAATTAATGCTTCCTCAAAATTTGCTTGGGGTCCGCTAGACCCCACCACGCCAGTTGAGGGTTAAATAAATGACGTCTAGAGCTTGACCTCGCCAAAATTATCGATCTCCCAACCGTCTTGACGCCGTTTTTTTTTCGATCTTATGGTATATAGGCTACGGCATCGTGGCATTTATCGCGCCCTACACTTCGATCGACCTCCGGTCTAGACTTGGATCCTTTTCCGAGAATCGGTCGCAGTTGGTATATTATTCTCCCGAGTCTCGAGGCTACGGCGCTCTAAACAACAAGTCTTCGTATTTCGTACACAGTCCGTGCTGGTTGATGTAACGACCCGGGGATCCTTGAACCCGACGCACTACAGCACTCGTTCGTTCGCTCCCCTCGTTTGCTTCTCTTCTTTTCGCCAACTAAAGGCACCCATACACTTCGGGTGTTTTGCTCGGTTTTAACCGTGCGATTAAACTGGCGCGCGTAGGGAGCACGGGCAAGAAACCTCCACAGTAATCAGGCAGTAGAACGTAATGGGTTAATCATCGCGACCTTACAGATCTATTGTGTCCCCTTTTCTTGAGTTATAACTCATCTTATAGTCCCAGGACCTTGACAGGTTTCAAAGAGGTTAGTTTTCCATGTCCGAAGTCAGTCGTACCAGAGTTTATGGTACGAAGACTCACTCATCACTGAGTGAGTCTTGCTCTTATTTAAGACACACCCTGTAGAATATTTCTATTATAAAAAAATCCCATTTTTTTGGGAACTTTTTATCAAATACTGTATAAAAGTCTTTTTAAAAGTACATCTACAATATCAATAAATACAGTTTCAAAATTTTGAAGAATTTGAACATCTGTCACTGTGAAAAACTTCATTGAAACTATGCCTTTTATGACACCATTTTTGACATCGTTTTGATTCGCTGCCAATTTCGGTGATTTCTTGTAGGAAACTGTTGTTGCGCGAACAAGCTTTGTCCAAACGTCGCAAAACTATGGAAGAACTGCTACAATGGCACCAGAAGCTGTTGCACGAAGAACGCGCCTCGAGCACCTGGAAACCAAAGTGAAGAGCATTGTTTCGAAGATACCTAGCGAGAAAGAGGAGGAAACTGTCGAACAGCGATGAACCTCCACCAAAAACTCAAATAACGCTCTCTGAAATGAGCAGAGTTGAAGTTCCACAACACCAAGCTGAAGAAACTGAAGACTCGTCCAAGACATCCTACAACACCGACGATTTCGAGGCAGATAATGCTACCAGTATTTCTTCAAGACCTCAACAAAATTGAAGATAAAATTCTCAACTTCAGCTTGGTACATATAATTCTAAATCTCCAGAACAAGAGAAACAAGAAGAGCAAGTTTCTTCTAGGTCCAGTCAAGTGATCGGTGAGATAGAAGAAGAAGAAACCGATGTAGAGTCTGTGAAAATGATCGAAGATCCTCGCGAAGAAGATGAATCTGATAAAGCATCCCCAATATTGAAGAAACAGTCAACCTAATAAATTTCTCAGAAAACTGAACAATGGTGTTTCCCCATTTTCCCTACAGAATCTGCATTCACCGTTGTTTCTCAGCTTCAATCTGCTGAGACATTGTTCTTACTTAAATCAAGGAAAATTTTTGATTTTTCTCGATCGTAAGTCTTGAGAAACTTCTTTGAGTGTCTTAGACCGTTGCAGGATTTCTATTCCAGGTTGCGGATGGAGTCTTCCAAGTTCTTGAGTTCCGGTTTGAATTGGTTTCCACTTGGGAAGCAGAACGGTTCTGGTCCAGTTAGTGTCCTTTTCTAGCTATATCATTTGCTTTCTCATTACCTTCTGTCTCTTGGTGGATGCGCACCCAGAGTAGGAGGACTTTGAAGACTTAATCTCTGAAGGTTTACAAGAAACCCCATTCATGTCTTCAGATGTCTAGATAGAACATACCCTCAGGAGCATTGCTATACCGAAACCCTCAACTTTTTAACTTATTACCGCACTATACATGTTAGAATCATTAAGAAAATCAAAAAATAATAAATTAACCAATAAAATTTATAGCCTTTCTACTCTTTAGATAGAGAAACAAAACAAAAAGAAAACAACAACAACAATTGTACACACGTCCAAACAATTAACTGCCTGATAAAGGGTTGCATTGTTTTCACTCGGTACGACAGATGAATAAACAAATGAAGCGACACAGTGTCACAGGCGACTAGAACAAACGCGATTAAATCGGCCTTAACAAGCATCTGGAGTAGGAATATTAATTTTTATACTTTAGCTTGATTGTCGATAAGCAAAACCAATCGAACTGCATGCCTTATAAAGACAAAGTATTCAAAAGATTGAATTAAATTAACTAGTAAGAGGGGACGCAAAAAATCACATTTAAAAATCACGCACACCATATTATGAATATAAGTCTCTCACTGTCACTGTCAGATATTCTCTCGTGAGACAAACTTTACATAAATAAATTCATAACTTATTTTTCGAGAAAAGGTATAGAAAGTGATGTTAATTAGAATTATTTAATAGGTATTTCAAGAAAAATTAAGTTGATTTACCGAAATATATATGTATTGATTTCTGATAATGCATAAACAAATATTAGCTTTAAATACACAAAATCATTTTATCAAAAAATATTTTTTTTGATATTAAAAAAAATAAAGAAAAATAAATAGAGTTTTTGATATTTATTGACAATTTTATTTATTTATCCGGTATAAAATCCTACAAAACCAAGTAAGGTAAAATTCTTGTAAAATTAATTAAATGACAGAAATAAATAGCTACTACTCTATTAGCATTAGCATTTGGGTGCACTTTCTCATAGATATAGAAGAAAATCCTAACTATTAATGAGTTTTTAGTTAAAATATTTGAAAGTAAATACTAAAAACAAATATTAACTGAGTTAACTCCATTTAAATTCGAGTTAATTGAGTTTATATTTATTTTTCTATTCGTATCAAGTAAATAAACCCACATAATTAAGGATTTTTTCGAAAAAATATATATTTAGCTCATTGTTTGTTGGCTCACGTCCAAATAATTTAAATTGGATCACATACAACTCTGAATATAGAGAGGTAGATACATTTTAACCGGTATAATCCCTACAAAATCAGGTAAAAATATTTGATATATTAATAATTTAATTTAAAAACCTACTAATTAAAAAAAACTTTATATTGTTTGTGATGCTTTGTTATACAAAACTACCATACACGTAAGGGTAGAAAGTAAAAAAGACAGTGATAAAAATGTTACAAATAACGAATAGTTCCTCTTTGATCAAAAAAAAAAATAAATAAAATAGCTTCCATGAATTTCTTAAAATGTCATTGTTCAGGAATGGACTTCTTGATCAAATATCTCTATTTTTGGAATATTTATTACCAAAAATAATTCACTTTTAAGTACAAAAATATTTTCAGCGATATTATACAGGTGCGTGCATATTTATTATGCATTTTTCAGGAGGCACACCTGGTACAAGACCTTTCAGGCAATATTTTTAATTCTATATAACTGAAATGATTGTAGGTCTTTTATTTAACTATCCTGATCGAAAAAACACTGTATTCGCTTACCTTTAAGTCGATTTATTCGGGTCTAGTACAGAATAGGGCACAGCACTGTTAAGAAAAACACACGTACAGTAACACAGCTCTTCGCGTTTCGAACCAGACTGAAATTCCTACAATTTTTCAGGAAATTTGATCTCTGAAAGTGCCGAGAATAACCATTCACGCATGCGTTCGATTTTAATTGTGATTCTATTAATTACAGACGAGAAAATGGATTCAAATAACTAGTAATTATCGTGTACTTCCTTCTACTACCGTATTAATGTAGAAATATTCATTTTTTGAATTGATTTTTTCAAACTTTAAATTATTTGAATTGCATTTGACAACTTTGACCACAGAAGAAGACTTGACGTATTGTATTTCAGGAGTAGGGTGTGGCTAAAGTTACGGGCAGAATTGTTTTATTTTTTTCTATTTAAACCAGAGATAGAGAGGTATTCTAGCAGTTTTTTGGCGGTTATTTTTTAATTAATATTAAAAATATCGTCAGAGATGTGATTTATTTCAGATTCAAGTATTTGAAATACAGATATAAGATAGAAAATATGTATTTTCATCTTATATTTGAAATATTTTTTTTAATTTCATCTTGTATTTTGTATTTAGATACGTTTTTTTAGTATCTTAGTATTTTATAAATAGTTTACTAAAATACTTTTACTAATTATTATTACCTGTGCATATTTTTTAGTTTATGACGTTCAATCATAATATAGACTAATCCAGTATCGCCAGATTAAATAAATATAATATCCGTATTTAGGTGTGATGACACATCCGTAGATGTATAAAAAATTCGTATTTTATCTATTTAAGATTTTTAACATTAAAATAGAACAAAAAAAACTTAAATAAAAACTACTTACAATCTTATTTTTATAACTAACTACCTACTAATTACTAAATTATTACTTATTGATCTCCCCTAGTATAACAACATTTTTACCCCTATATCTCTGGATGGTGCTTTAAACTTTAACTCACGGACGTATAAGAATCTTTAAATTTTATATACGTCCGTGACTTTAGCCACTCCCAATTTCATTTGACACTTGACATTGAATGTTTACCACCGTGTGTTTTTGACAAGTGCAGTCGATTTTTGTGCAAAAAATGTCAGAAAATTTACAAAAACGACCCGCAAAGGGCATTTTAAAAAATTCCAGTAGTTTCGACAAACAAGAATGCCAGCCTTCGGCTAAGTAAGTCATTAAATTCGTCTACGAAAATTCGTATAGTTCTAGTTAAATCAAAACTGGAGAACACTTAAAAATATGTTTCTAAAATGAATCATTTTTAATGAATACGTATTAAAATCGAGACAATCATTATTTTTATATATTACACACTGTACTAGTAGTTGTTTAGGTATGTAATTTGTGTAAATTTCTTTCAGAAAAGCAAAGGAAACGAAATGGGACGAAATGAACATTATAGCAACGTACCATCCCCCTGGAAAAGACTACGGACACATGAAAATTGACGAACCGAAGACCCCGTATAACTATGACGTCGACATGGATAACGTGGATGGACTAAATGCCGAGGAACTTGCAGAAAAGTAATGTTTTATATGACTCTTATAAAATATAATGCTTGTATAATTTGTTATAGAATACGGATAGCTGCAGATAAACCACCGAAGGTTTTCGAGCCCGAATCCGACAGTTCAGATGAAGAGGAAGAACTGACAGAAGAAGAAAAACAGAGACGTAAGGATTTTGAATTGAAAAGGTAAGTAATAATTCAAAAAAAAATTAAGTGGTGTTAATATACTTTTTTTTTTAAGGAAAAAACATTACAATGAGTTTCATGCGTTACAAATGGCAAGAAAATTACTCGAGGAGGAAGAGGACGATGACGAAGAGGAAACTTCGACAGTACATACTTCAAGTACTCAAAATTAGACTAAAAACTATCGCAGGTAGTAGAATTTTTCAAGGAAAAACTTGTTTTTTACGACTTTATAATACATATAGTACCAATAACTAAAGAATACAGTGATCAGTGACACCAAGATATAAATTGTTACTATTTGACACCAAAGCTATTTGAGGTAAATCGAAAAAAAAAATTAAGAATTAAATTAAAATTCCAATTTTAATTGTTTCACATTTGTTTTAAATGTCTAAATTAGCTTGTAAATGGGGTCAGATGTATTTACTGTTACAAATTATTAGATTTATAAACTATATAGCCTCTTATAATTTAAACCGCAAATTTTGTGTCTGTTCATATTCTTTAGTCATTGCATAGTACTAAACCTGTACTTTTTGTCGATCAAAGTATTTTATTGAAACTAGAAATTTTTAGAGAAAGTCATCAAAAGTCAAAAAAGTATTTAGCTCCAAGCAAGAGAACTTAGTCAAGAGGTGCTCAAAGTCAGTTTTGATGGAATTTTTTCAAATAGTAGGCATAAAATTTTATTTTTATACAAAACTATATTGTTTTCATACTATTATACCTCATTTTTCCATTTTATATTTATTGTCTATCAATTATTTTGAATGATTTTAAGAGGAATTATATGAAATATGCTTATTTTTTTCTATCAAAACGCAAGAAGAATTTTTTTGAGCCCGATGTTGAATGATAAAAATATATTTATTTAAATTATTTTTAGAAGGGTATATTTCTTCCATTAAACTATAGAATAAAGTTGTATGAATGGTTATAGTCTCTTAAATTATGTTCTAAACATATTTTTAGAAGACTAGTGTTTGTATTTGAAGTTAAGATTATTTACTATACATGTTCACTCAAAATGGTTCTTTAATTTAAATTTAGGTGCCATTTTATATAGTTTCAACATTTTAGAGGACTTACATGGTGTTCCATTTAAAAGTATCTTCCTGTATAATCAAAATAAAATAAAATAACTCATTGACTGAAATAGTTTGAACATTGTGTAAGTAGCATGTTTATAAAAAAATAGGCAGCCTTTAATAATTTAAAAATAATATATTTGGCTGTGCATATACATGAGCTAGCTAGTAATAAGTATAATAGATTTGTTGTCAATTAATTTATTATAAATTTTTGCTTGCTTTCTTTTAATTTCACTATTTATTTAGAAGTACCACTTAAGTTTTTGTTTTAATGTAAGTAAGATTTATTTGTATGGTATAGATTTTATAAATATATATAAATTATATTTTGCTGATATATGTTATAAATTATTATAATAATAAATTAAATGTGCAGATAAGATAAACGTTTTTTTTTACATTACTTTTCGTAATCGCCTATCGATATAAATTCTTCGCATCCTTGTGCCCATCCCTACTAGCCACAGATAAATACAACATTCATCTGTCATTGGCATCTGTGCATTCATCGCCATTTTTCTTTTGTCACTGTCATTTTTACTAGCGATCATTACGCAGTTAAATTTTCTAGTGTTTTTCTAATAAATTTTAAGTGTTCGAAGACCTAATTCTGTGTTATAAGTGAGTATTTATATTTTTTAAATAAGTTATTTGCATAATTGTATAGGACAGTGTGGTTTATTGTGTTGTATATCAATGAAAATCAGCTGACAAATCAACAAATACGTATCTTTGTTGACAAGCATGAGTCAATTCTACGGGTTTCACTGTGTATAATCATCATATTTACGCCCCTATCTATTTTATAATCTAATTATTATATTATCGTGAGTATTTCATTCTCATAAACGTCTAAATGCCGTCGTATCTCGAGTCTAATAGTTCATTTACCTTATTTTTTACTTTGGTCTAGCTACAAACAAAGGAAGACAGCAATTTCTCTTCTTGTAGCTTTGTCCATCTTTGTTTACATCTATATTTAAAGTAACTGGTGTATTTATTCCATAGAAAATGGCATCACGCAAAAAGATTTTGCTCAAAGTGGTTATCCTTGGAGAATCCAGTGTTGGCAAAACATCCCTCATGAACCAATATGTAAACCGTAAATTCTCAAACCAATACAAAGCTACTATTGGTGCTGATTTCTTAACTAAAGAAGTCACAATAGATGATAGGTATATTTTGTTATTGTCCTTATCTGGTAAATGCATATAATGATTTATTTGATGTTTATAGGACTGTAACAATGCAAATATGGGACACTGCAGGTCAGGAAAGGTTTCAATCTTTGGGTGTAGCTTTTTATCGAGGAGCAGACTGTTGTGTCTTAGGTGTGTATATTATATATTTATATTATATATAGTGCTGAAGTTCCAATGAAGATTAAATTTTGTTTATGTCTGTACTTATCAGTTGTTTAGAAAATACAGAATAACATACCTATAGTAATGTCTGGCTAACAGAAAAATCTTTGACAGTGATAGATATATTTATGTCTATCTTATTTTATGGGTATATAATCTGAAAAAATCTGTATATAACTGAAAAAAATGTGATTATTATTTAAAAATTGTATATTTTAATGTGTGTGTTAAGAGGAACTACATAGTATAAAATATTAGGTATAAAAAAAGTACTACTTACTTTGAGACTACAAGAAACTTACCACATTTATTTTTAATTTATGAATATATAATTTTTATGAGAATGTTTTGGTTTATATTTTTATTAAACTGTTTTAGTATTTGATGTGACTGCACCAAGCACCTTCAAGTCTCTGGACAGTTGGAGGGACGAGTTTCTTATCCAAGCTTCGCCTAGGGATCCAGAAAACTTCCCCTTTGTCCTGCTTGGCAATAAGGATGACTTGGAACCAAGGGCTATCAGTGCAAAAAGGGCACAGCAATGGTGCCAAAACAAGAACAACATGCCATACTTTGAGACATCGGCCAAGAGCGGTTCTAATGTGGAACAGGCTTTTCTGGCGATCGCCAAAAATGCCCTGGCTCAGCAAAATTCCACTGTGGATCTTTATAACGAATTTCCAGACCAGATAAAATTGACAAACACACAAAAACCGAGTGGCAGCGGGGATTCCTGTTCTTGCTAGAGAACATAACCTAGTAAAATGTTTTAGGTGAGCTTAGATCGTATATACTTGCGTGGATATAGGTAAATAACTAGGAAAAAATGATTCTAAAATAATCAAGGAGGTGCTGTTATCTTTTTTCTTTGTTGCATGCTTAGTACTGCTACTCTATCTATCCTTCAGGCCAAGAACTATTGTCCAAGGCGCCAAATTTGAATACAAAATTTAAAAATTGATAAATACTTAAAGTTAACTTCTAATTGAACACACTTGCAGCCTTTGTAGTATGAAAGTGTGATGAAAGCTTGAAAATCAAAATAAAAACAATGAAAATAAGGTTATAAGTTTTATGATTATTCAACATTCATAAAAATTGAACTTGTTTGAGACATTAAAAACGATGATAACTATTATTTAATTATTGACTGAGACTAATACAATAATATGCCTTGCTACACAGGGATTAAATGTTCTAATTCAAATGGAAAAAAATATATAAAATTAGTAAATGTTTCCAAATAAATTTTACAGTATTTTGTACAAAATTTTAATGCTCTTATGCATAGAAAGGTGCGGGGAAAGGATAAATCTATTGAACTCTTCATAGTGCAATAAAGAAGGTATGAAAATTGCATGTCTTGATGATGGAGACACCCTTTTTAAAGCTAAATATATCCAAGCAAGAATATAGGATCGAAGAATCTAAGTTATCGATTTGTGTTTTTTTTTATTTGCCGTATATGTAGGAATTTAGACACAAAGGAGCATTATGTTTATTTATATGTATGTCTCAATATATTTTTACTATTCTTACTAAGCAGATTTATTATTTATATATAGTCCAAGAGAAAGAATAGTTTACAGTTAAAAATCTCCTAAATAGTATTTTATCTAACTCAAAAAATACTATTAATATATAGAAAAATTGTGATAAATTATAAGAATTTTCGCATATTAGATTAGCAAGCTTGTAAAATGTTAAAAAATATTATAACACTCTGAAAAAATATGGTACAAGGTGCAACATGATGTTATTTTACTAGTATACAAAAGTTTCTTTTGCAATAGCTTTACTTTTGTATATAACATAACCTTACATTTATGATAAGTAGGCTTAGAGAAATATTTAAGTATTTTATTGATTTTTTATAGGCATGTAGATATATATATAACCCAATTTCTTTCACAATTATTGTAAACATTGATTATTATTATGATAAAACATAGAGAATAATTTTTATTTCATTTTTATTATCAAAGAGATTCAGATTTATAAAAAAAGGACGTATTATTTGTGTCAACTTTAAAATTGTAATCGCGTATGTTTATTGACTTTCGGTCTCCCTGTACACAAACCTGTTGTCTAATAAATTATACCGTATGATCGAAAAAAAAAACGATGTCGGCGATGGCTATGAAACGATGATTGCTGTCATTTTATATGTAAACTTTTATGGGGAATGTCATCGATGTTCATTTCCAAGCCAATCGGACGCTGTTTTTTTTCGATCATACGGTATTACAATGTGTTTAAATATTTTTGAGACTGAAACCATCAGTATATACGCGTGTGTCATGTATATATACTAATATGATTTTGTTTTAGAATTATTATTTTGCCTATAAATTTTAGTGTTTAAGAATTTGTATATTATAAATAAATAAAAATATATGTAACAGTAAAAAATATACAGTACCCAAATATCTTTATTTATCCCTTTAAGATAATTTTATTTTTTATCACAGTTAAGTTCATTCAAAGTCTTTTATTATGGTTGGTTTTTAGATAAATAAAATTCTGACTAATTATTATAAAATAAGGATAGATATATTTTTTTTATTTTTGAACAACACTAGGCTAAATATAATTTGTGATGGTCGTTTATATTTAAAGCTCTGTCTACACGTTACGTTTTACCTGTCGGGTAAGACGTGGGGTGTGTGAACGGTGAACGGTGCTTTACGCGCTAGCAGAGAAGAAATGGATATTATGGTAACAAAATAAAGCAAATGGTATCTCAAAAATCTTTATTAAATGCAAATATTCATTTATAATCAAACTCATATCACATAACTACTTAATAATACTAAGGCAAATAATTATTTATTGTCTTAACATTAGCCTGAACTATATAGCAAAATAAAAACACTAAATCACCACAATACACCAAAACACTTTTACTTTTACACTGGACGCGCGTTTCGCTAACCATGTTAGCATCATCAGCAGATGATTATAAACCAATAAAATAATTTGGTTTATAATCATCTGCTGATGATGCTAACATGGTTAGCGAAACGCGCGTCCAGTGTAAAAGTAAAAGTGTTTTGGTGTATTGTGGTGATTTAGTGTTTTTATTTTGCTGTGTAACACCAAAGGTTCCAACCCTCAACTGTAATCTGAACTATATACATGTTAAAAATTTTAAAAAATAAACCATACAAAAATGCAAACTTTTAATATTAAATCGAGATTGTTTCTATAAGTGTATAAAAAAATTAAAAATAATTTTAACTGTATTTACATCTATTATCTATATAACTCCACAAATATACTTTTAAGACACTTACTACAGGGTGAGTCTCTTTTTCTAGGCAACAATTATATTTTTAGATTCCCATTTAATACAAAAATAATCTTAAGTTATTTTTATATATTATTTGTTACAAATTAATATAAAATAATAAATATTATAAAATATAATAAAATTATTATAAGCAAATTAATAATAATAGGCGTTGGGATGCGACAACCCTGGAATATACAGGGTGTTTCAAAACAAATGGGAAAAACTTCAGGGGGTGATTCCTTGTTCAAAATAAAGGGTAGTTTGCTTTATAAACGTTGGGTCAAAAGTCAACCATTAGGGAGATATCGCAGTACAAAGATGGCGGAAAAATAATGTTTTTATTTTTTATCTTGAAAACGAAAAGAGATAGACTAATGAAATTTTACGGAAGCATTACTGTTATGAAAACACACTTTCTGGTATTTTCTCACTTTTTAAAATGAGTGGAAGGGGTTGAAATAAACTACCCCTATCATTCTTGTTAATGAAATTTAAAGAAAAAATCTTATCAAACACATGCAAAAAATTAATTTTGATAGTTTAGTTTATTTAGAAACTTTTTTATCTCTTGTGTTTTTTTGATAAAACTCACCGATTTGAAATTAAAAAATAAAATGTAAAGCATTACATGTCAGGACAAAAATATTTTTAGATAAAGAATCTAGTGGGCAGCTGTAATTTTTTAGAAAAAAATCTAGTCGGCCGCTGTCACTTTTTAGGATGTTTCTATTATTTTATTTGACATTACCCTACTGCAATACGTTATTATCTAGATTATTATTATTATCATTATTATCACTAGATTCTTAATCTAAAAATATTTTTAGTTCTGACATGTAATGCTTTACATTTTATTTTTTAATTTCAAATCGGTGAGTTTTATAAAAAAATACAAGAGATAAAAATGTTTCTAAACAAACTAAACTATCCAAAAATTTTTTTGCATGTGTTTGATAAGATTTTTCTTTAAATTTCGTTAACAAGAATGATAGGGTAGTTTATTTCAACCCCTTCCACTCATTTTAAAAAAGTGAAAAATTACCAGAAAGTGTGTTTTCATAACAGTAATGCTTCCATAAAATTTCATTAGTCTATCTCTTTTTGTTTTCAAGATAAAAAATAAGAACATTATTTTTCCGCCATCTTTGTACTGCGATATCTCCCTAATGGTTGACTTTTGACCCAACGTTTATAAAGCAAACTACCCTTTATTTTGAACAAGGAATCACCCCCTGAAGTTTTTCGCATTTGTTTTGAAACACCCTGTATATTACTGCAAATTAAGTGTTCAAGTTAACTTGTTGATTTTTCAAATTATATATAAAATTAATAACCAGCGGCGTGCGGTGCCAATTATAGGCGGGGAAGCGAATCGGTAAAAAACCCTATTTCGAGACATTACTTTTACATTTTCTTAAAAAACTTACCTTTGAAAATTCCGAGGCCAATTCCATTGTTCCATTAAAATTCTATCGAAAATTGTTAAACAAACAAAAACACATAAAGTTATAATAGTTAAAATACGATATTTTAAATTAATTTTCCGAAGCACATGACGCGCGATAGGCACCTATTTGTATTTGAGGTCTATTCGTCTATCAGCCATTGCAAATTTGTCTATAACATCATCATAAAATTTTGGATTTAATTTATTATATTACCTATAAAATCACAAGCGAACCCGTCCCGATAAATTAAAAGTCAAGGAAGGCGGCCGAAAAATCGCTGCCGTGGCTAGCAACTGTGCGAGATTTTCCGGCTTAAATTTGTCGTTTGCGTTCGAGGTCAATAACACCTACATGAAGGAGGGATAGGCGACCGGCGGCGATTCCCAGGCGCGCATCCATGCAGTGAAAGGCTAATTAAATTTGCTAGATACGTTTATGTAAGGTTTCAAATAAATAATTTTAACAAATTAAATTAATCTTTTGTTATAAAATAACAGTATTATTAACGTTTAATTATTTATTTTTTTATCTTTAAAAAGTTTAGGGAAGCGGTGCTTCCCCCGCTTCCATGGACCGCACGCCGCTGTAAATAACTAATTATTTTTAAAAGTACTCATCTATCTTTATTAATAAAAATACTAATTAATATTTAATATGGCCAAGAATTAGTCTTATTGAAGTATGTGTAATGATAAAATACAAAATTGCATTATTTCAAGCGTAGTATAGTATTAAAGTTAGTCTAGCGAGAGACTAAGATACTATTTCCTTAGATTAACAATAAAAAACTATTTCGACATAGATGACATATCCATAAAAAATGACAGAAAATACAATATACTTTTGATTTATAATGATATACAAAAATTGTAATCTATATACTAACAATTTTAACACATAATAATAAAAAATGCAGTCTTATATTTTTAAAGAACTTTGTACAAAATCAAGATACTTCGAAACATCCGTAAACACAACGTAATGAGACGAATCACATCGAAACCTGTTCTGTAAAGCTACACTTATGGACACTAATCCTCTGATTTGCCACACTGTATTCTGCGTATTTGATCCAGGTTTGGGTAGAATCAGTCCTCCGCCAGAGTCGCCGTTACATACCGAAGTACCTGGGGGATATAAAGAAAACAAATCTTTTCTAAAGGCACTATTATTACAAAAAAGATTTATCTTAAAAATATATTCGAAAAATCTGTAATTATCAAAAAATTAAAATAGGGGTCCGTAACTGTGTAGTTATTAGTTATGGAAAATTCCTTGATTTTAGGAATACTTTCACGTATCGGCAACGGCGTAGGCTTTAAGACAAACTGGCTACTAGTGTGTAGTTAGTACTCTATTTTAAATAAAGAGGTATAGTTTTTGTTACTTATGATAAATAAGTAAGTGTGTTTATAGTCTAAAGATATCTAAAATAATCGTATGAATATGATAAACCTACCATTCTTGAACCCAGCACAAAATGTGGTACTGCTTGTGAATCTTGAATAGAATTCCGGGAAGGAATAAATACACGTTTCTTGTGACACTATCGGCATATGCGCTTTTGTCAACTGTTCAGTTACTTTACCGGTTTCGTCGAAACCCCAACCTGTTACAGTACCTATAAAATATCAGCTCTTTAATACTACTTTGTTAGTCTTAATATATAAATTAGCGAAAACAGTAAAAAATATATAAAAGTTTTAATAGTTTTAAATAACAGTGTCAATTGTTACTTTCAAATAACAGTTTCGGCTGTTATTTAGAAATAAGACGTCTGAGAAAGGACTCATTATTTAACAGAAACCTGTTATTTTAAGCTGTTAGTTAAATAACAGTATCACTTCCAACTGTTATTTACAAATAACAGTTTCGGCTATTATTTATAAATAACACGTCTGAGCAAGGACTCATTGTTTAACAGAAACCTGTTATTTTATGCTGTTAGTTAATTCACAGAACACTTCCAACTGTTGAATAGCAGTTCCAACTGTTATACAAAAAGTAACTCACCGATATGGTCAACAACACGGTCCAATTGATTATTCCCCTCCCACAAACAAATTGGTCTGACGTAGTCAGTAAATTCAGCACGTTTGCTGAGTTTGAGAACAGCTATGTCGTTACTAAAACTCATAGGGTTAAATTTCGGGTGCACTATTATACTTTCTACTTTTCTATATTGAATACCTGGGTTCGACCATACCCGTAGATAGTATTTTCCTAAAAAGCGATAAAATAATAAATAAGAGACCTACAATAACTCTAAAATCACTTCTTTACCTAAATATATCACTAAGTTGCTTGGACTTAGTGCCATCTGGCTTTTCCTTTTAGTGACGCAATGAGCTACTGTTATTAAATGATAGTCGCTTATTAGGGAAGCACCGCAAATATACGTTAAATCTATACCCTTGGAATGGTAGATGGCAGCGTGCCATGGAAATTCACCTTCTGTTGTTTCCTGTCCGTGAGTTATTAGAGGTCGTGGTTGTTTCTGAAAAAATAATAAAACTTGATAAACTTTTGTCGATAATTTTGTAAAATATGTCTGTTAGCTATAAGAATTTACAGAATTAACAGGGGTATTAAATTCAATGAATTTTGTTGTTGACCAAGTCAGTGGTATTTTGAAAAATAACAGTTGGAACTGTTTTTTAAAATAACAGTTGGGACTGTTATTTAAAAGTATGGAACTGTTATTTAAAATAACAGTTGTGAATTGTTATTTAATAACTGTTGGAAGTTGGAATTGAACAAATAACATTAACAAATTTTATGCATCATATCATATATTTTGTTACAATAACAGTTACTTACGATAACTGTTCCACATTCAGCAGTCAACGGGTCGGGAGACGGTCCTTGCGGTTTTAATATTAAACTAAAGTCGCCTTGATAGAAGTCATCATCGCCTGAACCAATTGGAAGGCTCGGTTTTTGTCTAAAACAATACAAAAATATTCTTCAGTCTTTACTACCTATAAGATATAAAAATGAGACAGGTGGTTTATTAATTAATTATAATTATTTAATGATCTGGTATTTTACTACCTACTGTTATTTCAAAAGGCAGTAGTTGTTAACCTTTAAAAAATAATAGGTACGCGCGAAAGTAACATGCACCATTATAATTCGACCAAGCTCATAACTTACTGTTATTACTTTTTACAGAAACCTGTTAATTTTAGCTGTTATTTTTTTAAATAAAACAGTCCCAATTGATATTCAGAAACTGTACAGAACTGTTGTACTTACATCACTGTAGGACTAATCCCAGACGAGGTACCACCAGATACACCCGACAGTGAGTCCGGTATCTCGGGCTTATTGGTGAATAACTGTCCGGTAACTACCGGACTAGGTGTAGTGGTACCACCTACAGGACATATCTGTCTGGCATTGAGTCTCAACGTTAAAATATACGGGGAGGTTCGTTAGTGTTGTATCTAACGTAAAAAATCTAAGCTGCATCGGTGCGTTGGGTTGTAGTTTCACTCCTGGGTTCTTTATGAGGTACCCTGTATTATTATCTCTCGCTGTTTCCACCTCACCAACCAGTTCTAGAAAAATATGTAGCTATAAAATTCATATCTGTATATTTCCTGTGGAAAAGTGTATAACAAAAAAACTTACCCCTAACTGCAAAGTCTGCTTATTTAGCAGTACTCTAAACCATACACCAGTCAATTCGGCATCGGTTTTAAGTGTCACAGTAGCGTACCATCGGTCTGGTTCAGAGGGGTTTTGTTCATATTGAAAAACGTCAGGACATGGTGATTTTAGCTGTTGTCCTAAAGTCGTACCCAGGTAGTACCAGGTTAGGAAAAATATGAAGTACATCGTTCGAAACATTACCTGTAAAACAAAATTCTGATTGTACAGGGTGTCGAAAATTTTAGGGTTACAATTACGTTACAAAATTACAAAAATATTCAGAAATTCGGAAATTTTATGTAGATTCAGAATATACCGGCTGCGTCTCAAAAGTGCGGCTCACCCCTATAACTTTTTATTTTTTTCAAATAAAAAAACTACTTTTGGTATGTTAGTATGTGACATAAATTAGGATTGCTTGACGTAATCAATTGTTTTCGGTCACTTCCTGTGTTACCGGAAATCACTACAACTTTTGAATTTGAAATGGCACCCTCGGTATTTTTTTACTTTATTCAATAGAAAATGACACTCTGAATATAATGACTTATCATATGTCAACCTTTGACATTTTTGCTTAAAACAAAATTGTATTTTAAATTTCAATCTAGATGAGTGCCACGGCTGTATTAAAACACTAATTTTTAGTCAAGCAGCCTTGGAAAAATAGATTTGATCGTCTAAATGTTTTTAGTGTCACCCGGTATACACCTTTGAAGGTTTAAGTGTCTTGGTTTTGTGAAAAATTATTTTTTTGAAGTCTTAGACAAACGTGTACAAAGATATTTCGGAAATATGATATATCTGTTTCATATAGCACGCTATACGTATTTAGAATTGCAAATAACAAAAAATCACAAAGTAACAAGAAAATACTCACAATGTTGACATGAAAAACATTATACACTTCTGATGAGTATACACTTTATTTAAATCACATTTAATTTTTAACGCTATGAAATCACACTATAAAGAATAAATAAATAATAATTCAATAATCTCAATAACGAAAAAAGAAAACTGTATAAACGTAACATTTTAAATAATACTGCAATACAAGACCATTTGTACATATATTTATACCTCTATATCATACCCACTACCCACTACATTTGACAAATATTTTAAATAAGTATATGTATAATGGATATTCTTAAAAAAATACCTTAATTGTTTTTTAAACTTTCAAGAAGTGTTTTGGTTCTTGGTCGCTAAATTTTGGGAATTTAAAAACGAACAAAAATAAAAACATTAAAGTCAGACTATACCCAAACAAATAAGTCTGAGATATAAGGTAAAACCGAAAATATTTGCAGAGACTGATTGATGATATTTTGATTTGTTTTCAATCTGTTTAACTTTCGCATTAAATATATTATTTTCCTATGTAATTACTTTGTTACTTGTTTTATGATTCCTTGAATAAATATATCCGTTTACCGTATTTATATTATCTCTGGTATAAATGACATATGTAAATAAAGATGTAAAATATTAAATAATTTACTATATTTAATTATAGTAGTTATTTCATAAACTTACAAGTAAATATTGTTTTATATGTCTAGATTAAACTCACGATTGTTGTGGTTTAGACTTTTAATAATATAACAACAAAACTACATATTTACTATACGATCGAAAAAACGACGTCAAAGACGGCTGGGGAATGACATTCAATGATAATTTTGGCGAGGTCAAGCTGTAGACAAGTCATTTACTTAGCCCGTACTCTTTCTTTTATTTTTTTAATGAGGAAGAAGGTTGTAATTTATTTTTATATTGAGTAAAATTGAGATTTTTAAGTGGTGTAGTTAAAAAATTCAAGAAAAAATAATTTTTGGAAATAGATTTGTTGTCATCTGGAAACGTTCTATCCTTTTATAATCTTTCTATAATTAGTGGTGCTTATTTTTTGACAAGTTTTATGTCAATTTTAGTAAACGACGTCTAAGACCTGCCAAAACCACCATTAACTTCATTCCCCATTTGACGCCGTTTTTTTTTCGATCATACGGTATTATTAGCATATTAGTGTGAATTATAACTTTTACAGAACATAAAATTTTAAACTAGTTGATTATAGGGATTCACTATTTCTCAGAAAAATTATTATTCTGAATTAGTTTTATATAGTGTACCTATACATGGAAACACCTGTATATGAATAAAATAAAGTATATAATTTTTATTTTATTTTTAATAATATCTATATGAATTGTGAAAACAGTCTTGTGTGATGTCTTTGTAAAAACAAAAATTGTAGAAAAAAATTTCAAAAAAGATGCAAAATTTTTTTGAAATATTTTATTTTCAAGGAAAAAAAAATGTTTTAAAGATGTATCTATATGTTAAAGATAAATATAAAAATTCTACTATATCTACTATGTCCCCGGATTGTCCAAAGGAATCCTAAAAATCAAAAGTCGTTTTTAGGATAATATAATTTTGATTTCATTCCTTGATAGATGGTTATTATTGACGTAACTACAGGGGCGCCTGGGGGTGCCGCCCCCCCAGTTACTGCTGGGCACCCCCCAGAAAAATCTTGAATTATGACTCTTGGCTACGTATTAATTTTTATTTGCTTGTGATGTAGTAAAAATTATGTTTTCTAGTTTTGTTTAGTTAATATTATTTTGTTGTGTTTAAAAAATGTGTTAATTTTTATTTTTTTTAGAAAACTTGTAGGTATTTAAGTAATCTACGGGAACAAGGTTTGATAACCAAGGCTATGAAATTTATTGATAGAAATTAATGTAAACGTTTTATTCAAAAAATGTGTTTTTTAAAATTATTCTTCATTTTTTAAAAAACAAAAGCCCTAGGCCCCCCTGGTCTCAACCCCAGGCCTCCCCCCAGGACAAATTGCTAGTTACGCTAATGACTGATTTCTTTCTAAAATCGACAACTATGAAACTATGATTCCTTCCCCGACACAAACGGTACATTGTGAAACAGGAAACTGTAGAGAGAAACAAGCGCTATAACACAGGATACAACATTTTAATGAACAGTGCTTTCCATAAAATCAATAAAATGAAAAATATACGAAATAAAATACGTGTACTGATTTCTTTCTAAAATCGACAACTATGAAACTATGATCCCTTCCCCGACACAAACGGTACATTGTGAGACAGGAAATTGTAGAGAGAAACAAGCGCTATAACATAGGATGCAACATTTTAATGAACAGTGCTTTCCATAAAATCAATAAAATGAAAAATATACGAAATAATATACATGTACTGATTTTTATTATTAATTTTGATTAACGTCATATTTTTTCCTGTTGTTAAAATCTCACATTTTCCTATAACTATTATCAAATTTGTATCCCTAGCATTGAACTAAACAAATTTTGTGCTTATTTAACATTTAACTAAAAATATGACGTTAATTAAAATTCTATCAATAACAATCTATGAAAGAATGAAAACGAAATTATATTGCCATAGAGACGCGTTTTGATTTTTAGAACTTTAGGAAAAATTCAACAATATTTTCATATTCTTTTCTTTCAATTTTCTCTAGAACGGTATGGAAATTTGAAGAAGTGTAGACGGGATGAACCATTTTAGATCAAACAAATTTTTTTTTGAAGTATGCGTTTTTCTCAAAATGTTAATAATAAAAAAGTTTCTCCTTGTAAAGACAAACCGGGGACATACTGTATACGTAGTCCTTTTTTGTGCATAATTATTACGAGTTAAATAAGATCATTACAGTTGGGGGTTGGCAATAATTATTATCAATTAATAATGTTTAAATTCACTGCCTTTGTAAGCTGATTTAATTATTATTCGTTACTTTAAAAACGTATCAATTACAGACCAAAATAAACCGTAAATAAAGTAGCTTTATAAAATTGTGTTTAAAATTAATGAAAAACACACCCCCCAAAACAAAAAATAAATTTAATATATAATTAAACATTAAAAGAAAATTATTGACAAGCTTAAAAGTTTAAAATTCTTATTGTAATTAACGCTAAAAGAAAAAGACAAATAATCATGCATCCCCATACAAGCATAAATACAATAACTGTAATTACAGACACTTACTTGTAATAATGGAAAAATTATCCAATAAGAGCACTCTTGAACGAACCGAAGGTTTTTGAAAGTAGTTAATAATACAATAGGAGCATTAAAAAGTAAAAAACGATTTAAACTCGATTAGCCATATAATTAAGGCCTGTTTTATACCGAGTATTTGTCATTTTGAACCAGTTCTATGTAACGTTTGCGGTTTTCCTACTCGAACTTATTGAACATGTATATTTGAAAATTGTGAAAATCTGAGGATGATCCCACCACTAACAACTACCGTGTGAACGAGCTAGGGCTTCTTTTGATGACTAACGGGAAAATTGTAAACAAATTACAAGGCACGATATATACTAAATTTCATCCAGCAATAATTCCAAAAACAAGTTTTTTCCTCAGAGCAACAATAAGCAAGTAGAGATATGTTTGTTTTTTACCAAAATTCTCTCTCTGTCTTCTTCTTCTTCCTGTGTCTTGTGCTTAGCCGCACGTTGGCAATTGTCTGTACTCTTCATACAATGTGTAGAGTGCCGAGTCTTCGAAATATGGTGGCTGCGTCGCTGATGTTACACCAATCCCGTATGTTTCTTAGCCAGGAGTGTTGTTTTCTTCCTGGGCCTCGCCGTCCCTCTATTTTTCCTTGTAGAATCAGCTTAGGAATGTAATATTTGTCTCCTCTAAGGATATGGCCGAGGTATGAAACTTTTCTTTCTTTAACTATATTAAACATTTCTCCTTCATAACCTGCAGTTCTTAAAACTTCTTCGTTAGTGGCATGTGCGGTCCATGGTATACGTAAGAGTCTCCGGAGAGTCCACATCTCGAAAGCCTCGATGCGGTTCAGTGTTCTAGCTTTGAAAGACCACGTTTCTGCGCCGTATAGTAAGATGGGCCATATGTAGCATTTTACTACCCGTAGTCAAGTGCTAGCGGGAGACTGCGTGCTAATAGGAAGTTTTTAAGTTTAAAAAATGTTGATTTTGCATAATTCGTTCTAAGTTTAACTTCCTCATCGCAGTACCATCCTTCATTGATCATAGCACCTAGATATTTAAATCGTGGTACTCGCTCTATAATATTTCCATCCACCGTCAATGCTGTGTTGATTATAGGCTGGCGTCCTATTACCATAAGTTTGGTCTTGGTAGCGTTGATTTGACTGAAACGATTTCCCATGTCCTCTATCTTCTAAAGTTGGTGCTAGGATTGGATCATCTGCATATCTTATATTGTTAATTGGAACTCCGTTAATCTTAATTCCTCGACTTTCTCCTTCTAGGGCCATTTGAAATATCTTTTCGACGTATATATTAAAAAGTATTGGTGACAGTATACAGCCCTGGCGGACTCCTTTACACACGTTGAAGGTGTCTGTGGATAAATTTTTGTTAACTCTTATCTCCGCGGTTTGGTTCCAATATAGTTCCTGTATGATTCTAATGTCTTTAGCGTCTATTCCTATCTCGAGCAGTCTGTTTAGGAGAATATCGTGTTTAATGTTGTCGAAAGCCTTCTGATAATCTAAGCACACAAAGACATCTTGGCGTTGATCATTACATTTCTGGATCAGTAGCTTGATTGAAAACAGAGCCTCTCTCTCTGTCTAAGTTTAATTAATTATTAATTAAACCGGCTCCAGAGTTGATGGGGTGTTACCCAATGCTTCCCAAGTGGAAACCAACTTAAAGCGGAACTCAAGACCCTGGAAGACTCCATCCGTAACCTGGAATCGGAATCCTCCAACGGTCTAAGACACTCGAACAAATTTCTCAGAACTTACTACCGAGAAAAATCTAAATTTTTTCTTGATTTAAGTAAAAACGATCCTCTAATTGTCACGGAGTTTTTAACAGGACACTGTGTCTCGTCAATGAACACTCAGTAGATTGAAAAGAAACAACGGCGAATACAGACTCTGTGGGGAAAATGGGGAAACACCAGAACACCTCGTCACTGAGTGCGCCGAGACGTCAACCATTCATGCCATCAACTTTGGTACGACTGATATCGGAGATGGAGAACTAACCTCTGCAAAACCGTCACAGATACTGGCTTTGGTCAAAGCCCTGAAACTGTTTGATGAGTTATAACTGAAGAGTAGTGGGTCTACTAACAGCGAGGGTCTTCTAAGTTGAATAGACATCTAAAGATATTCTGTGATCTAAAGCTGATGGAATTAACGGACGTTGCCATGCACATTTTGTCAATCTGAAAATAGGCAATGACAGGTCATTGACAAAGAACTAAGGATCATAAGAGAACCACGATAGATCTGAAAATCTAATCTACATCATGAACGAACGGTATCTACTATATTTGTTACTCTGAGTTTTGTCTTTTAGAAGATTGGCAAGTTAACGTGAAGTCAAGGTGAATGCCAAAGAACATATTCCACTTAAGTACGCGTCATGAGATTGGAAAAAAGGATTCCCCATGCGGCGACAGTACTCTCTGTTTTATTACTTTTTTTCGCATTAAGGCATTTTTATCGCAAGTTTATACAAGTTAAGTCAACTGCTCAAGTCTCTTCTTGAATTCATTTCAATCGTCTAAACTCAACAATTCCTGTCAATTGTTCAGACCAGTTGATTGATGTTCCAGTCGACTACGGTTTATCTTTTGGTGTTTTTAAAATGGGCGTCAAGTAGGTGATCAGAAGAAGATTCTGAGAAATTTATTGATACAAAAATAAATATTACCACTGTATTTTGCGTCTAAAATGAGACTAGACATCACGTTGTTGTTTTATCTGTATCAATTTGTAGATCTCCAAAATAGTTAAATATGCTTGACTTTATACGAAAATAGCGAACAAGTGTGGTGGTAATTCTCACAATTATTTGTGTCAGAGAATATTCAGATTGTACTCGTTGAAATTTAAATGAAAATCATTATAAACATTAGCACTACTAACTATATTTTTTGACACAATTTACTGTTACTAGACACTATTGTAAACTTAGTTAGAGAAGAATAACAACTTATTAGCTAATGCAACAATAATTCTGTGTCATGTGTTTACAAAAATCTAAGTATAACCTATTTTTTCTTTTATATATATTTTTTTCAGTAAAATGTGTGTGTATTGAAGATACAGAATCCGAAATACAAAATTAAAGAAATAATAGTAATTTCTAAAGCATGAACCGAGGAGAAATAGCCTTACTTAACTAACTACTTGTGTCTTGTTTTTTTAATTCTGGCTATAACTTTTTCCAACAAAAAACTAAATTGTTTTGCATCCATCCTTCATTTTTTTTGTAATTTCTAGCCCGAGCTCTAGGCTTTTTTAACTGTAACTTTTAGTAGTTTTAAAATTAGTAGATGCACCATAAGTAATTTCATTTCCTGACCAATATTCTCGTTTTACGGGTTGTTTTTTTAACGAAATAAACTTTCTGTCAATTCTATAGCCATAATTTTGGAAGTTTGAAGTACAGCCCTACGCACTGTCGCCATTTTGAATCAACTAGCAGAAGCTTTTTGATTTCAAACGTGTAAACAGGGAATATTCTTTCAAGTCCATTAGCGTAACTAGCAAATTCATCCTGGGGAGGCCTAGAGCTTTTGTTTTTTAAAAAATGAAGAATAATAATATTAAAAAATCACAACACATTTTTTGAATAAAACTTTTACATAAATTTCTCTATACAGTATGTCCCCGGATTGTCTTTACAAGAGGAAACACTTTTTTATTGTTGACATTTTGAGAAAAGTGTATTCTTCATAAAAATTTTCGCTTCCTAAGTCCTAAAAATCTAAACGCGTTTTTTTGGTAATATAACTTAGCATTTTGCATTCTTTTGTAAAAATTCTTTTTCGTTTTTTTTTGTTGTTTTAAAATGTTAAAGAAGCACAACATTTATGCCGGGACCCAATTAACCAACACGCCACGCCACGCGACGCCATGCTACCCCACGTCATGAAGAGCTGTACGTATGTTTTTTCATTTAATTACATGTATTGCGTACACACTAACACACACGCCACCCGACGCCATAACACGCTATCACACGTGTGTCGTCTGTCCCAGATCTCATGTGTACACTCTTTCCCACGTCGCAACACGTGGGCCCACTTGTTGCGACGAGGAATAGTGTGGCGTCGCGTGGCTTGTTGGCTAATTGGGTCCCGGCATTATTGGGAAAGGGTGATGGTAGTTATCGGAAAATATTGGGAAAATATAATACTTTAACAACAGCAAAGAATAAGGCATTAATCAAAATTAATAATAACCATCTATCAAAGAATTAAATCGAATTGATATTATCATAGAAACGCCTTTTGATTTTTAGGACAAAAAATTCAACCATATTTTCATGTTTTTCTTAATTATCTCTAAATCGTTTTAAAAATTTGGAAAGGTATAAACAGGATAAACCATTTTAGAAAAGCAAAAATTTTTATGAAGAATGCATTTTTCTTAAAATATTAATAATAAAAAAGTTTTTCCCCTTGTAAAGACAATCAGGGGGCATACTGCATACATTTAATCGACTTAACTAAAACACATTATTTATTCATTTTAGATAAAACTAACACACAATTTTTGAACAAAACAAAGTAACAAAACTAGAAAAAGTCATTTTTACTACACCACAAGCAAATAAAAATTAATATGTACAATCATAATTCAGTCAAAATTCAGGACTTCTCTGGGGGTAACCAGCAGTACCAGGGAGGACCCGACACCCTGTAGTTAAGGCAATGTTCGAGTCATTTGAATTCCGGTGAATTGATGAGTTCACTTGACTCAACAAAGTCACTGGATGGTATATAAGTCTTTTAGAAGCGATTTAAATACATTTAAGTAAAATTCTACGTCATTCGATTGCTGTTATACACATCTTATCGGAAATTCCTCAAATCCCTGCTTTTATATACTGTTAAACTGGTTTCAATTCTTCTGTCTATATCACAACACAGCTTGCCAATAACATAACCACAGTATAGCCACAGTATATTGTGCCATGGCTAAGAAAACAACTACATATTTGTTTCTATTCAGTTTTGAACGCTGAATTTTGCGTTTCTAAACATATTATTACGCTTGTTTTTAATCAAAAAACTCGTGTGTGATGGTAAAATTAAAAGTTAATTAAAAGGTGAGTCAAAGCGTACGTTTTGTTAGGGATTTAAAAATAATAGCAATCTTTTTATAGTTTTAATTAATACGTATATAGCGTATATGCTAATAACAATATTCTTTGTTGTTATTGAGATAAACAAGCAGGGAATAGTGTACTTGCATCGAAATGATTTATTGTAATAAAACAATTATAAAATAATTAGAAGAATCAGTGTTAAAAATAACTTCTGTTTTCTAAGGAAATTATTTTTAATTTTGCAAAAATAAAAAAATATTTCGAATATAAATTTACAAAATTTTAATTATTTTTCAACTATTAATTGTTTTAATTTGAATAATTTAAAATTGGAACAAAGAATTTTAGTAAAATATTTTTAGAATGTTTCTTTAAAAATTACAACTTATATCACTCATTTTTTTATGGACTTCGCAGGGTTCGAATATATCATGATATTCATATAAATATCATATCACATGATATATACCTGATATATATGAAGCTATTAATATCATGATATATATCACAAGATTGTATCCTCCAAACCCTGATATTTAACTCTGTTTTTTCAAGATTCAGGGAAGGATTTTTATGTGATAAGTAACTTTAATAAACAATAACATATGTTTTAGTGAAAAACATAGATATATACTTACAAAATAAGTAAGAAACCATTATAACCCATTGTCCTTGAAAGATTTTGGTATTTTCATTATTATACTAAGAATATTCAATAGTTTCAAAATACCTTGATCTCCAAGAAATATAAGCACTTATTCAAAACTACGTAAACTAAATTCATCGTCACTTAACACTGTTTTGAACATGATTTATATAAATTTGCGTTAAATAATATTGTTTTTCAAAATCACAAATGAACCGAAAATTTAAAACAGATAAAAAATATATACACAGTGTCCCAAAGTGTGTAGATAAGTCTTATCCAGTGTACTGGTTGTCTCAGTTAAATCAAACTGCCCATGGATAAAATTCTAGCACTAACAGATATTGTATGTCAAACGAATTCAAAGCTATATTGTTTTTTCTGTCAATTTTTTAAAAATGCAAACTTGTAAAAAAATTAAAAATTAAATATTAATTAGTTCATAGTTATTATAATAATTATTATAGAGCATAATTTTCACATACAATACGATATCCAAACATTTTTTTTTCAAAAAGCTGTAATATTTTTATTTGTGTACTTTAATTTGCATAGTCAATATGTTGAATATATTCATCCCAATTAAAATCTTTTTGTTAATATCCTGATACCCAAAAGATATATACATATGTTGTTTACGTTAATTCATAATAAGTTATGAGTATTATAATTCTTCAATAAATTTTGTCTATGCTGGTGACATTTTGAAAACGAGTTTTATGAGCAATAAAAATAGTTGATTTTTAATTATTATTTTTCCATCACGTTCAAAAATACCTTTAAACAATTTTTCTAGGAATATTTAAGGCTATGAATATAAATTGAATGATCCAACGTTTTGTAGCAATATATATCCCCTGTATAAGGCTCCCTAAATCTCTGACTAACTAGGAAAAAAATAACAGCGCGTAAAGAAGTTTCACTCCAAAAATAAAATGGCAATTATTACAAAAAAAAACTTGGTTTATAAACTTAAAAAAAAGTATTTCTGCTGGTGTCACAATAAGTATACTTAGCTAATATTTGTCCCGGAAATTCTCGAGGGTATTTACTATATTCTTCATCTTTTCCCAGCTTTTTTCTAAGAAATATATGTTACCATATCAACCAAAAGGTCAAAAGCAACAAGTTTATCTTGAAAACAAACAATTATTTCTGATTATTACAATAACAAATAGTATTTTAGTCTTGTGTATTCTTTTACAGGACTGAGACAGAATGTTAATATCGATTTTTACTTGGTGTTCGTTAGTGATCAGTGTTGTGGTGGGACAACTGGTATCGCCCTGTCCAGAAACCTTCACGTACGAGTCCAGGGACAAGGACCAGCCGGACAGATGGTACGGAGTGGTTCTCTTAAAGTCCCAGGAAGACTTGGAAGGAATATGGTTGAGGATAATTCTGGACAGAAGTGCAGAACTATTAGGGGTAACTTATTATGATATAATTTTGATAATAAATTTAATTATTCTTGCATTCTTCGTAAAATCAATAAGTATAAGCAAAGTGCCGTGTGATAAAAAAAAGGCGTCAAGGACGGCTGGGGAATGACCATCGATGATAATTTTGGCGAGGTCAATCTCTAGATGTCATTTAAAAATCATTTTTACTCAATACATATAAAGATAAATTATAACTTTCTTAAGGCCAACTGGCAGTAAGCGCAATTGAAAAATAAAGAAGAGTACGGGCGAAGTAAATGACGTCTAGGGCTTGACCTCGCCAAATTTATTATCGATTGTCATTCCGCAGCCGTCCATGACGCCGTTTTTTTTAGGCGTTTATTTTTTTTTGGTATTTAAATTATAGTTAATATTTTTTGCAAAAAAATCAGCCAAAAAACTGAAAGAAGTGTTTATAAGTGCAGATAATAAAAATATATATGAAGAATTGTGTTACAGAATTGGTTTGGAGATACATCCTCAACGGATAACATAGAATATACTATCAGGAACCCCTCGTATAGATTAGAGGCAGGACCACCTGTAGCTGTAAGGTTTTTTGTAAAATATAACGCAGCCTCCATAGTACCTACAGTGTCAAAAATACTGTTAAATGGTAAGAAGTAATAATAAATATGTTTAAGTAAAATCAGAGATACAGCCTATATTTCTACATGTATCATACAGTCATTATTAAATAAAACAAATACAACTAAATTATTATTATTAATTATTGTCTTTATAGGTAAGACTCTGTGTCCCACTACAAAAAGAGTGGAACCTCAATTACATATAAGTGTAAAAAATGGATCCAGAAGGTACTCAAACGCTTTCAGTGTCTCCAAATAATCCAGGTGTAATAAGAAGACCTCCACCGTCAAATAGAGAAACCACAAAGAGGTAGGCGTCATACCACTATACTCATTTAGTAAAAAAATATAATACCTTACTATTAGGTGTTATATAAGAACTATACAGTGTGTACCCGGATTGTTTTTACAAGAGGAAGAACTTTTTATTATTATTGACATTTTGAGAAAAATACATTCTTCCTAAAATTTTTGCTTGTTCTCAAATGGTTAAAACCGTTTATACTTGTAAAAAAATTATACGTTTTAAAAAAACAAGAAAATATGATTGTATTTTTTTCAAATTCCAAAAATTCAAAAGGCATTTTTATGGTAATATAATTTCGATGTTTTTCTTTGATATATGGTTATTATTAATTATAATTAACTTTCCTATTTTTTGCTGTTTTCATTTTTTAATTTTCTCTAAAACGGTATGGAAATGAAACAAGCAAAAATGTTGCATGAAGAATGCGTTTTTCCCAAAATGTCAATAATAAAAAAAGTTTTTCTTCTTGTAAAGACAAATCCGAGGACATGCTGTATACAAAGGATACGCTTTTCATTCAAAATAAAATATGTAATATATCATTTCTTGTTCGGTAAAATCTGAATCACTCCATTACATATATGCACAGTCCATCGGTAAGCCTAAAAAGCCCCACAGACGCTCAGTTCTTTCGTACAGGCTGACTGTGCAGGCCAGTTTGCGCAGTTTAACCGCTCACTCAGTTTTGTCTACAGTAAAAAAATAGAATCAGCACATTTTTTACTGTGAAAATTGCTTATCGCGATATAGTTGCATTCTGATCGCTTATGCAATAAAAAATATTTTTGCTGTCTCTGTAATTCTTGCTTTTTATTTTCCATAAACATGAAACATGGCAAGCTTTAATTATTATAATTATTGGATAAATTGACAATTGATAATGCCATAATAGTTATTTGTTATATAAATGTTTTAAGTTAATAATAGACTGAATTTTGTCTACGGATTGAAGCCCAACTGCCTGTACAAATCAGGTTTGAACGTCAAAATTGAGCGTATGTGTAGGCCTTTAGACAAAAAATGCACCGTTTTAGGCCGTCTAATAGTGGCTTAGCCTTAGGGAATCCCCTAAATGAAGATGAAGACGATGACTATGCGTTTTTTGGGGGTGATTTCGCTATTGGTACACATCTAATAAAACTGCTTCTAGGCCACTCAGTGTTCCCAGTCAGGATATTTCGTGCGGAACAGTAGCAACGCAGGCGAGTCCGCTGATTACTTTTGGTCAAAGCACTATCCCAGGTAATTTCTATCACCGTATAGTCTGTCCAAAGATGAAAGGATTCTCTATCATTTTAATTCATAGTTAAATTGTATTGTCTGTCATTTTTTGAATGTAGTCTGTCGAAATCTTATTCCCTCACTCCTTGGACAGACTCGATCAATACCTATAAACTTTACGCGAAAGATACAAAATAATCACTTATTTAGGACAGTGGCCTTGGCATGTGGCGCTCTATTATTCCAAGGGTCTGGAGTTAGTCTACACGTGTGGAGGAACCCTTATATCAGAGAACTTTGTTTTGACAGCTGCTCATTGTATTACCAGACCTCGTACGAATCAAGCTGTCAATCAGCGAAACATACTGGTCTACCTGGGTAAGTCAGTGTATAACAAGAGAATACATGACATTTTTGGATGTCGTCTGTCGAAATATACCCGGACTTGTTGGACAGACTATACCTATATAGTCTGTCTGTTGACGAAATATATATATTGGTATGGAATTTACATACTTCTGAAATAAAATGACAGACGACTGTCATAGGTAATTCTTCCTCTAGAAAGACTATATTTTTTTTTATTAACTTAAACTACTGGAAAATAGTTAGCTTAGTAGTTAACTTAAACTACTGAAAAAAAAATCTTCTAAAATTATTTTTAGCTATTATAATAAACTACTCAAAACAATTATAGCATATTTTCTAAAAAATAATTATTAATTTGAAAAACAATACACTTTGAATTCCCCGACTTACCATTTTAAATAGTATAGATACTGTGAAGGGAAATTCAATAATATAAGCCTATGCGCTAACCTGTAATTTTTAGTCGGCCGACTTTTAGTTGCAAAAGTAAAAACAATACATACTTATAAAGTCGATCGGCCCACCATTTGATTGCATGTGAGCACGGCTCCATATGGATATATTGGTTACAAATATGCAACTAAATAGTCGGCCGATTAAAAATTGTCTGTCAACGCATAGCCTAAGGCCACGCAATGTAATCAAGTATTGGGCCGATCGGCTCCATAAGAATGTATTGTTTTCACTTTTGCAACTAAATAGTCGGCCGACTAAAAATTACATGTCAGTGTATGTACCCTCTAATTATCCTAAAAAAACTCACAAGAGAAAGGCAGAAAAATGCATGCTTCATTTAGAAATATGTAATAATTATTTTTATTCAAATATGCGATAATTGTTTTGAGTAGTGTACTTATTAGAGTATTACTGTCAAATAGTTGAACTTAAAATACCTTAATAATCTTTTTTAAATACTTTTCCTTTATTTTTTTTAAGGAAAATACAGTTTGTTAAGTTTTGGTCCTGAAGTGCAAGACAGGAAAGTGGACCAAATTATTATTCATCCAAGATACAATGCTACATTATTCTATAACGATCTGGCACTTCTAAAATTGGACAGGCCAGCAGAAATAACGAATTATGTTAGGAAATGCTGTCTATGGGAGGAGAACGACAATCTCCAAAATCTGATCGGAAAACTAGGTATAAACTAAGTGTAATATACTTAAAATTATAGGTGATGGTGATTCCTTTAGTGATTCCTAATTAATAAACATTTTTAAAGATACATGATACACAGTTATTATAAAAAAAACTCTTTTTTACCACCCTGCAGCTTTATATTACTTTTTTTTAGGCACTGTAGTTGGCTGGGGATTTGACGAAAACAGAAAGCTCACGACCAACTTGATGCAAACGAAAATGCCCGTCGTCTCTTCAGACACTTGCATTTTTTCAAATAGGAACTTTTTCTCGCAATTCATATTCGATAAAAACTATTGTGCAGGATTCAGAAACGGTAATTTGGTATAAATATCCTAAATAAGTAAATAAATAGTTACTTTCTAGGGACATCTGTGTGTAATGGAGACTCTGGCGGAGGTATGGTCTTCCCAAAAGCCGGGACAAGTGGAGCAGATACTGTATGGCAGTTGAGGGGCATAGTTTCTGTTAGTGTGGCCTTACAAGGAGAGGGCACTTGTGATCCTTCACATTTCATGGTTTTTTTACGGATGCTTCTAAACACTTAAGCTGGATTAAACAAAAAATAAATTATTGACAAATTTGACTCATTATTTGTTCCAAGAAAGCTGAATTGTGATACCTATACTATGTATAAAGGATTTTTTTAAGGTCTAGCAAAGTTTCATTGCATATAAAGTTATCACAGTGTGTATAAATGCCCTATAACTTGCGCTTAATATTATTACAAGACTTTTTATCAACCAAGTATTATTATGATGTATCTAGTAATATTTGTTTTAAGAAAAAGGATATTTACAATCATTCAAATCCAGTATATCATAAGAATACCCCTGCTATTAAAAAAATATTAGAATAAAAAAGATGGACATTGGACATACATAAATGATTTTTTCTTAATTCAGACTTTCTACATTTTATTTAACTAAGTATTTACAACGCCTAAATTATTTTAAGTGACCTAATGTGTATATACAAATCGTCCTTTCAAAATTCTGTTCATAATAACCCTACGTCCCGCAGGAGTGGACATACGCTTGGCCCATCCATGTCTCTTGACTCTCTTACGTTCGGAAGGTTTTGGGAAGTGATCTCTTATTTTAGTTCTGATAGTTACGTTAAAAAGACCTCCTGGAGACATTAAAGTCAAATTTTGAGTACCTTTTGTAATGTTTTGGGATAAGGAGTGAAATTTCTGTATGTTTTGGTTCAGCTTTGAAGTCAAAGACCTTAAAACAACTAGAATTAAATAATTACTTGTAAAATACAGGAAAACTTACAAGGCAGGATTTAAGCTTGCTGAAAATAGTCGGCCTATTAAGGACATATTTATTTTCGAAAATTTATTTGAGATTTTATTAAAAAACTTTTTATTAACCTCACTTTTTAGATAGACGTCATTTTATGGCTACAGAAAAAAAAAATAAGATGTAATGACGACTTTATGTATCTGTGGTAAATCTTCATATATAAAAATTATAAAAATCTGACAAATCTGTCACTAATAATATGGTATCTATCAAAAATACCAAAGCAATGGTAATTTTCTGTTTATAAATAGGTATTTATAAACAAAACTCTTTAAAATCTATTTTCGAAATTATGGCAGATCCAGAAAACCAAGACAATGATCAGGACGATCAGAATTTCCCTATGGAGATAGAAAACGGACACATAACTGACTCAAATTCTGGTCCTGAAGATGAAAGTTCTGGTAAACAAATCAAAATAATATTGCTAATAGAAATTGTCTTTTTTATCTGATTTATAGACGATGAAAATATACAATTAGCAAACTCAGATACCGGAGAATATGATAGAGACATCCCTACAACTCATGGGGTAAAAATGCTAATAAGGTTTGAAAATATTTTTAAACCATTGTATTTGTTTTCTGTTTTATAGTACCTTGGAAAGTTAAACCCTTTAAGTGGATACACTATATTTGAAGATGGAGATCAACTACATATTCTCGCGATATATACAGATACTTTAGTGTTTCCTGGCTTTACGTTACCTCTGGTACTGTACAATTACGATGAAAATCGAGTTATGCAAAATTTTATTAAAGAGAACAACAGAGTTTTCGTGTTACTTTGTGCCAAGTAAGAAATGAAAGTAATTTAAATCTTCATTCTAGTATTTTTTTTACTTAGTTCAGCTTATAGTGGTATATATGAGTATGGAGTCACAATGGAAATATACGAGACAAAACAGAAGAGGGGTTTGTTACATATAAAAGCTCGCGGTAGACAGAGATGTCGAAGATTACCTGGCTCTCCCCTAGAAAATGTTGCAAGTAATGCCTGATTTATGTGTATATTGTCTGTTTTTTTCAAACCTATAGATTTCTAGGTAGAATAAGATTAGTCACAGTCAGAATCGTTGCTGAACCAGCAATAACATCACCCCTGCAAGATACTCAGCTTTTAGCACTAAAAAATAAAAGAAAATGGGCTATAAAGAATTACAGTGAACTGTCTCGATGTAAAGTATATAGAAGGTATGTATATAGAACTTTATTTTTTGAGTGAATTTTTTAAAAATCTTATTTTTTTTAAGGTACCACACAGCACAGTACCCCTTTCCTTTTTGGATATACGATATGAATGAAGTAAGTTACTATATAAAAGTACTTTTAGATGCTTTAAGTTCATATGGAAGAGGTAATTCTGTGAATTAATATTTTTTTAAATTTTCTAATATATTTTTAATGTAGAATATATACCCACTGACCCAGAAAAACTGTCTTATTGGTTTGCACAAAACTATCAGTTGAGTCATGAAGAAAGATTACAATTATTGAGTTTGAAAACTACTTTAGAACGATTAAAATTAGAGTGTATATTTTTGAAATTAGTAAGGTTGAAGATTTTAAGTTATTTATAAAAATGTTAAAAGATTTTTTTTATCAGGGTAGGTTAATATGTTGTGAAAATTGTGAAGTTTTAATCACGGACCCTGCACAAGTGTTTGTAATGTCCAAGGATGGGATACAGAGCAATTATGTGAATCCAGGTAACGTCAAATTCATATTTCCCTCATTTTTATATTTTTATTTGCGGTATTATTTTTTTTTATCTTTGTATGGCTATTAATAAATTATTAGTTATACAGGGTTGTTCCTCACATACAACACGGAGTATTGTAGCTAAACGACTAGATTTTTGCAAATTGTAACTTTTGTGTTCGTTGAAGGACTATTAGAGCTACAATTTAAAAATATTTTTACAAGATATAGAGTGTCCCAAATAAATAAAAAATATCAAAGTTGTATTTTTTTAAATGGAACACTCTGTATATTATTACATTTTTAATTTCTACGATTAAAATAAAGGTAAATTTGATTAAGGTTTAACGCATTTTAATCTTACTGTTTTTGAAATATTTAGGTTTTTGTCAAAATACAGTCATAACTTTAATGCTTCATTTCTATAGGGATTTTAAAGGTTTTAAAACCAAATATGGTACTGAAGTATTTCTATTTACTAAATTTTGTGTTGCAATAATGAAAATTATACAACCTTGTACAGAGTGTCTAAAAATTTATTTTAAATAATTACTGGTTTTAAACGGCAATAACTTGTTTAATTTAAATGGAACATCCTGTATATTTTATGAGAATCAGATGCGCAATTTAATTGTCTAACAAATTGTGTTATACCATTTTTTACCTATTTCTTCAAGTTTTCGTAGAAAATGCCATTTCCTTATAATTTAGACTTTATTTGTCAATATACCCATGGAATATTGACATTTTAGATTATTTTTAAAGATGTAACAAATTTTTAAAGAGTACAGATACTAATATTATCGATATAGTTCGTTTATTTCTTAAAAAATAAAATTGTTTCAAATTCTAAAATACTGAATTTTGTTTGTTAGAGAGTGAGGTAACAAGTAACACCTTAAAAATGTTATTTCATTTTTTAACAAATGTTTATTTATAACAACAGAGGCGTTCATTTTCATAACTTATTATTATATTGATTTCTGATTCAAATCCACATTTATTTAGAATAATTTATTAACTAACACAATTAAGTAGGTAATTATTAATTAATATTTGGGCGGAAATAATGGTGGTATATTTAATTAATGGTATACTCTTTTATAAAGTAATATTATTTTAGCACCTGTACATTTGTTACTTTAAAAACAATCTAATTGGCTCATTTTAGATTCTAAAATGTCAATATTCCATGGGTAGTATCCTTGTTTATATATTTTTAAAGTTGTTCAACCGACTAGACAAAATGTGCTGCCAGCTGGAGGACAAATCGTGAACCTTTCGGGGCGGAGTCTAAAATATCGATTATTTTCGTTATTTTCATCAGAGTAATGTAATAATATAGCCCGGGTTTCTGCATCTTTAATAGTGATCAGCTGATTAAGAAATTTAAACGAAACTTTTATTTTATTGTAGATTGTGGATTATTTTTGCCTGTTAATTTTAAAAATTCTAAACCGTATTAAGAAAGAAATTATTTCGATATGTTGGTACATTTTTTATAATTTATGATAATGCTAATTACTGTTAATTAATATTTAGAAAGAGTTACATACCTACTTTAATTTGATTTAATGCAGGTTTATAAAAGAATCATTTCATTCTTAGATTATTTTATTCTAAATTGAGTGTTTTACGAATTTTACGATTTTTTTTTTGAAAACATAAAACTCTTTTTCATTAAATGTTCAAAAAATTGCAACTTGCTTAAACAAAAATTGTAAATATGAATTTTTGAAATGAAGAAAAGCGTGTAGGATTATTGGTTCAACTTTTCTTGGCCATACATTTTCCAGGATACGTTGACCGGTGAACGTTATTTACGTTTTTTAGAAAAGTTAAATTTAGATAGTCGGGCATGCATCAATAGTTTGGTTCCAACATGACTTTCATTATGAAAATTTTTATTGCAATTGAAAATATTTCATAAACGGTAAGGTTTAAGTGCGATAAAACTTAATCAAATTTACCTTTATTTTAATCGTAGAAAGTAAAAATGTAATAATATACAGGGTAATAATGTAATAATATACTGTTCCATTTAAAAAATACAACTTTGATATTTTTTATTTATTTGGGCACTCTGTATCTTGTAAAATATTTTTAAATTGTATGTCTAATAGTCCTTTAACGGCTTCAACGAACCCAAAACTTACAATTTGTAAAAATCTAATCGTTTAGCTACAATACTCCGTGTAAAATAAAAACACTAAATCACCACAATACACCAAAACACTTTTACTTTTACACTGGACGCGCGTTTCGCTAACCATGTTAGCATCATCAGCAGATGATTATAAACTAAAGTACAATCTACAAGTTGAGCGTTTATATACTCACCCAGTGGGCACCGAGTGGGCGTGGCAAAATCTAGCCAACCGAGTCAGAGCCAACTGAGCGTAACACTTAGATTTCCGCCACTAGAGTAGTAGGAACAAAGAACTTGAAGGAATTGGACCGTTGTCTCTGTTCATACTATCTTTACATTTATTAATTTTGATGCTTTCATATGCATCTAATTGCCTTGTAATTAGATGCATGTGAAAGGTGAATAACCCTGTATAATATATTTTTGTTTTAATATGTTTTAAGGAGGCCACGTTTATGAAACAGTCACAGTTCTATCGGCAACCAATTTCCAGTTAGTTGGCAACCCTTCCAAACAGTTCTCTTGGTTTCCAGGGTAAAGTTACATTAAATTTATGTCCATTTGTATTTTTAACAGCATTTTTTTTTCAGTTATGCCTGGACAGTTATGCAATGTACTTTCTGTAACAAGCATCTGGGCTGGAAATTTACATCTAACAATTTGAATCCGAAAGAATTTTTTGGCTTAGCCAAGTCAGGGTTCAAAATTTTGTGTCAGACTCCAACGATCCAAGAAGATTTAACAGCGAGTCAAGAGCAATAGGATAACGTAAAATTTATTTGAGTCGGTAAATATTTTGTTATTCTGTCATATGATCGAAAAAAAAACACGGCCGTGAGACGATGATCGATCATAATTTTGGCGGGGTTAGTCTCTAGACGTCGCGTCGTTTACTAAAAATTGACATAAAACAAAATTAATACTAATTATAGAAAGATTAAGAAGGATTGACTTGACTTCTCCAAAATTTTCATCAATTGTTATTCCCCAGACATCTCTGACGCCGTTTTTTCCTCGATCGTATGGTATAACCAAAAAAGGTTTTGTTTTATGAAAGATATGAGACAGATGTGTTTCTAGCTGTTGTGTGACATACCAACTTTTTATTTTTATGTTATTAAGGATTTCTTTAGTAACTGGCTTTTTATTCGAACAGAACAATTATGGCTGATTTTTTTATTAGAATAATTTTACTTTAATTTTAGAAATGGACCAGTAGGCTGGTCTATATATACACGTTCATAACCTTCTTGATATTAGGAATAACCTATAACAATTAGCGATGGGAACTATCGAATGAATTAGACTATCGAATGGTTACTGAATGAATGATTTCAACTATCGAATGGTTTTATTCGAATAAAATCATTCATTCATTTGTATACTAAAGCATATGTGACAACCTCGCCGTGCAACTAAATGGTTATCGTTGAGCTACGACTATCGAATGCTTTTGATAAATGAAATTTAGTATTCGTTTTATTTTTGTGTGCGTCAGTGCATTATTAGTTCTTCTCAAATACATTTTAATTAAAATGTATTTGGTTCTTCTAAATTTTTATAACTTCACCTTATAAATACCGTGCTATTTTTGCGTTTATTAAAATATTTAAAATACTAAAATAGTAGTTTTTTTTAATTGACGATTGTGTTCGTGTGCAGGTGTCAAAATTTTTCCGATAATTTGTGTGATTTTCCGTAGCCCGATCTTTCAATTATTTTATTTTATATGGTATATATGGTCTATTTTTAATGGCAAATTTTGAGAAGTAGCAATTTTTAAGAGATGAGATGAACTTAGAATTAATTTTAAAAATACATATTTGTATTTTAGATGTTTTAATAATATGAATTAGTTGAACTTAATAATCATATTTAAGTAATGTGGTTAAGTAAATGGGGTTATCGAACTCAAACTATGGGGTGAGAAAATTAAATTGAAAGTTTGACACGTGCCAATTTAAAAAAATAAGTTAAAGATGTTTGCATTTTGTTTATGCTAATTCTCTTACATGTAGTTTTTTGCGAAGAAATATTTCATTTATTTTTTAAAGTAAATGCCAGTAAAAGTAAATATTATTTTTAAACAGTAATATAAAGTACCTAATATAAATAATTTTGATTTCTAATTTTTTATTTATATTTTCCTTCCATTACACTGCATGCTTAGAAAATTAATAAATGTTTATATATCATGATTTTAAAGTTTGTTGTTAATATAACAAATTAATTCTGTAATTATTAATATTTAATAAACCAACGTTGCCACAAAAAATTTAAAGACTATTTTATTTTTAAATAGGATCTAATATAAATAATTTTGACATCTAATTTGTTGTTTATATTTTGCTATTACGTAAAAAAAATGTTTATATTAAATTATTTTAAATTTTGTTGTTAATAGGTATAACAAATTATTACTGTTATTATTATTTTTATTACACCAGTCTTTGCTTAAAAACATTAAAAATCATTTTCCTACATCCAAAATATCAAGTATTATTGCAGTGTAACAACAGAATATTAATAAAAAAAAATGCAAAATATATAGACATACTATCCCTAACTAACTAAAGCCAAACAATAATATTCTTTGCTAATATCAACTAATACCAATATATGGCAACAGCACCCTTCGTAATGTATTTTCTGTGTAAATACTAGCACCTCAATAAAAAAAATAATGTGTCCTTATCTTTATATGACTCCGCAAAAAATCAAAGATGCCGGCTTCTTTCATAGCATTGCCACCGACCGCTGTCGGGTTTCTCGGAAAGAAACCTACGTCGCCGGGCGACAACTAAAATCCAGTTAATATTTTATTATAATGGATCCTGACGAATAAATGAATTTCATAAATGAATGAATTTTATAAATGAATGGTTTTTGCTGCCGAATTACTAGAATACAATATTTCAAGGCAGATGCCGCATCTATTCGATAATTTTTATTCGAATAGTTTTCAACGAATGTTTTTTTTACGAGCTATCGAATTATTCGAATGAATTGCAACTATCGAATGTTTCGATAGTTCCCACTACTAATAACAATTACCAACTAAAAAATGCTTTATGTACATATGATCTATTAAATTAAGTTTGTGTTCCTTTTGTAACATATTTGGTTGTATTTAAAAGTTTCCTATTAATTTTGTTGTAAATAAGTATATATTGGAAATGACATAAAAAGGTTTGTTTTTGTTATAAAAATGGTTCTTTCATTAAAAAAAACTACTTGAATTTAATATTTTATTGCGAAATATCCCTTAATAATTAACCTGTACACAAATATACATAACTATTCATCTAACTTACATATTTACAGGTCACAAGGAAAGAAAAAAACTAAAACTACTTCAAATATCTCATAAATTATTTCCATAAATAGTATGAACAAAAATACCTGAGCGGCAAAAGATCCAAAAAAAATTAACAATCATTGCTTCATAGTGTCTATATACCCATTCTGTGTTTTTTCTCTCTAAATACCTATATATACATAATATATTAAAAGGGTAAATCTTAAAAAAATTGTCATTCATCTAGATTTATTATTGCCAGTCAGATCTTTTTATACACCATTATATTTTATATAACTAACTAGATACCAAAAAATCACTTATATATTCTGTATAAAAACTTCGTGTTCCTTTTAAGAAAAATAAATTATCTCTTAACAACTATTATTAGTTCCCAATAACTCAACATTACAGGAATAAACGTCTTTTTCGCACATACATTTTTTTATTTTAAATTTTATATACAAAAAAATAAATAACTACATCAAGTCAAAAGGATTTCAGTCGAAATTAACACAATCACCCATTATTTTGGAAGCAACTTCTCGTCTATTTTTCTAAATATATGTGTTACGGGTAATATGCGAAATGAGCTAATTCGCGAATTAACCGGCTAAAATGCGTTTCAATTATATCCTTATAATCATCACTGTTTAAATAGCCTTTAATTTGTTTAAACTTTCTATATTTACTATCCATGTTGACAAAGGATATAATACAAACACAAGAATCGTTTTATCGGTTGCTCTTGGGTAATTCGAGTTTTAACCCATAGACAAACAGAAAAATTAAAAGACTGCCAGAAGACATACGACGCGCAGGCAAATGTTCCTGTAGCGCATCGACGCAAGTGCCGAAATACGTCCATCTAGCTATCTGTGTTTCGACACTAGTCCGTTCGTCTTAGCATATTCAGAAAGAACACGCTAACCTCCAGCGTTGCCATTTTGTGGGGAATTCCCCAAATTTTGGGGAATCCGGAGCCGATTGGGAATTTTGTGGGGATTAGCAATAGGCGGCGAAAATAAGGGGAGTTTCAACATTTTATTGCTGATTGAAAATGGCGTAAAATTTTTAGCTTTAAAAACGGAGCGGGACGATATATCTTTCCCAACTTAAAAATTATAATCTGCTTTTTACTTGTGCTTCCCTTTGCAAATGCTTCAGTTGAAAGAAAATTTAATGACCTCAAATTATTTAATGACTATTAGGGAAGGGATTAAAAAACAAGGAGGTAATTTACAGTTTAATCATATAATATTAAACATATACATATAATAAATATTGTATTTTTATTAAAATTATTTTTTTTTTGTTAAAATAATCATATGGGGAATTTTTGGTGAATCGGGACATTTTTCTCCCCAAATTGGCGAATTTAATTTAGATTTTTGGGTAGTTTAGGAAATTGACATTGGCAACGTCGCTAACCTCATTCTTTTGTTTGTTGTTTGTTCAAAAACCGGCACACGGCGTAGTACAAGGCTTGATCATTTTTTAAGAAATTTTTGATTGTTAATTTTATTTTTGTGCAAACTAAACAGTTGTTTTTTATTAAAAAATAGCAGACAAAGGTAAGAAAGATAATGTCCACGCAGAAGTTTTTATTTCACAGGCTATTCTTTCTAGAAATTATACCATCCAGCCCTCCTATTTAATTATTAAATGAAAGTGTGAAAGAGATATCAAGGGCTATTCTGTTAAAATATCATCCGGCCAGTCTAGGCCCTGTTGTGAACCAGAAGGTCTGCTGTCTGCTAAGTTGGATGTTGGATATAGAATGGAAGGAATATCATGGCCGAGAACAAGGCATAATTATATGTCCCGTGATGTAGGGGGGTAGGTTTGTTTCTAATAGGCAGTAAAACCAAAAATTCTACTGTGAATCTTCATATTCTAGGCCTGTAAAGGTAAATAATTCCTGGAGCCATCTCGAGGTATAGTACTCAAGTCGGAGCGAATCAATTGATAGCACGATGAAAAGAAATAATAGCCAGCATAAAACTGTAAATATGTATATAACTAGTACTATGTAGCTATTTAACTGTAAGTACAATGTAGCTAGATATTTAGTAGAATAGGGGTATTATAAATTAATACAAAATACAATAATTGGTCATTCTTTCCATTCCCATTCAATTCTTCCCATTTAATCGTTTTCCCATAAAAAAAAGAAAATTAAAATTAAGAGTGCCCTTAACCAAAAATAGTGAAATAAATGGAGATAGTCAAATTTTATATTAGCGTGTAAGACTTTGAATAAAAGGTGTAAAAGGATTATAAATGCTGTATTTATATCCTTTAATATCATGATAATATAAAATTTGAGTAGGTATCTCCATTTATTTCACTGTTTTTGGTTAAGGGCACTCTTAGTTTTAATTGCCTTAAAAATAATAAGTATAATAATAATTTAAATCTCCCGCTCTTTCATAGTTCGTTCCTGTAGCCAACTAGAGGGCGCCAAAAGCGCAATCTCCCAACATTTTACCACGCGATTCACCACTCTCCAAACTATTAACTTTCTCTATGTTTTAACCTGTTTGCGGTGGATAATACGCGAAACTAAGACAGATTCGGGTTTTATCCATCGCTTTTAGATAACTTGGGTTTTAACCGGTTAATTCGCTAATTTCGCGTAATATTCGTAACATATATACTTCATACAGTTTTTTGACTGTTTTTTTGTCCATACATCTTGTATAATTATTTAGAAAAAGGCGATAAATGTTTTAAAGTTATTGGCACATATATTTTATATAAATAGAGAATACGCACAGAGACTGTGTGTATCTGTGTGTTTCATGAAAGATGACGATCCAAGGACAACCTGTATACCTTCAATAAACCACACCCCTCTGTTCAATACCACAGTGTGTTTGTTAGAAGAAACTTTAGAGTTATATTCTGTTCAAGTAAGAGCTGAATAATGCAAATACCAGCCCTGAAACGTATCAGTTAACCTAAGGGATGTGATTACCTAATATTTTTGTACAATATTTCGTACAATTTTAAAAGAATAGTGTTAAAATTGTATATTTTAAGCAAAGTTTAAGGTTCTTTTAAAGAACTATCTAGAGACATGTAAGAAACAAAATATACATTTTTTGTAATAATGTTAAATTAAAAAAAAATATATAGTTTAGTACAATATGAAGTTTACTATCATTTTATAATGTAAAATATTTATTAATATATAAAAAGGATTTATTACGATTATTAAACATTATTTCGACCTTGAATCGCCATCATTTTTTTTTGTGAAAAGAACTGTAACTATACGTAATAAAGATTTAGGGACTTATTCTCTCAAAATTTTAACACTTAAGAAGGCGAACGAGGACGACCTCTCATTGGTCTCCCTCCTCCCGGCCCTCCGTCCCTATCCCTTTCCCTGTCTCTCCCGTCCCTATCCCCCCTACCTCCTCCTCGTTTAAAGTTCCTATTACCGCCCCTACCTCCGAAATTTCTGTTGCCACGTCTCCTACCGTCTCGGTTGTTGTATCCCCTGCCTCCTTGTCTGAAATTGCCCCCGCCTTGGGGTCCTCCCATTTTACCGCCCGCGGGGCCTCCCATTTGGTTGGGAGGACCTCCCTGCTGGTCGTCGTAGCCTCCTCCGTAAAAGTCGTCGTTGTTGTAACCGCTGTTGTAGGACTGGTCTACGGCTCCGAACTGGGGGCGAAAGCCTCCGGTAGGGGCGTTACCTGGAAATAGAGATGGTTACGATATTGTAGAAATATCGATACTTTTGATGTAGTATCGAGAATTTATGGTAGCGATATTTTTCGGACGATTCCGAAAGTGTTGTATCGATAGGTTAAGAACAGTATCGATATCGAATATAAATTCTATTATTACTAGGGAAGGGATATTTTTTCGATATATCGATATGTATCTATTGATGTTCCGCTACATATCGATATATCGAAGAACCGTTAATAAAGATAATTCGATAGTTCTCAAAGACTAGACTTAAAGAGAGTAGCGATATATCGATAACTAAAATACATCGATAGGTAAATTTCTACGATTTATCAAAAGGGAAAAATCCACATTATCACCCATTCCTAATTATTACAATGACATTACAAGTGAAAAGATATGTAGCTCGATATCTATATTTTTACTATATTCTCATGCCTATCTAATGTCGATGCTTTAGCTGCAACATCGGTATCGAAGATAAAAATACTATTATCACAAAGACATAATTAGGAAGGTGGTGTAAACTTTAAATTGCGATTCCCAAGTGTATCGATACTGGTCTAAAAAGTATCGATATTCACCAAAAATGTCCGGTAGACACACTTGGGGAAAAAAACGGTATCGATACTTAGAAAAGAATTTACGGTATCGACACTTGGGTAAAAACTACCGGTATTGATATTTGTCATCGGAGATGAAAATAATATTATCACAAAGACATAATTAGGAAGGTTTTAAATAGCGATTCTCAAAAGTATCGATAGTGGTGAAAAAAGTATCGATTATCAACGAAAATGTCCGGTAGACACACTTGGGAAATAGAACGGTATCGATACTTAGAAACGAATTAACGGTATCGTCACTTGGGTAAAAATTATCGGTATTGATATTTGTCAAAAAATATCAATATCGATATTTTTTACTACCTTCCCATCCCTACCTAAAAGTCCTCCGTTTCGGGGATCGAAATTGATGGGGTAGTCTTGAGACATCTGAGGCGGGATGTTGGGAATCCCAGGGGCAGCACCCAAAAGTCCTTGCTGGCCTATAAGCGGTGCCGCTTGGCTCGATAGCATGGGATTCATTTTCGATACACTGGCCAGAATCGATAGTGCCGCTCCCAGATTAGTAGCACTGGGCGCGAGTTGTGAACTTGCCGTCGTGGTAATCTGTAAAAAACAGTATGCCATTATACGTTAAGACAACCGAAAAAAAAACAACTTACCTGTTGTTGAGGTAATATATTCAAGTTGGACAGTAAAGAATTCAAAACGGGATCGTGAATACCCGAACCGCCTGCTTGATCGAAACGACTAGAAAGCTCCTGGTTCAGCATTAATTTCTGGTTGCTGGTCAGACTTTGATAGAACTGAGAAGATTGTAACATATTCAACTGTTGAGTGTACGACATTTGTGGGTTAAGTTGCATTTCTTGAGATTTTTCTTCCATTTTTCTTAATCTGTAATAAATAAAAAAAGTGTCAAAGAGTGTCTTCTTCAAGCCAGAAGGTCATAATGGATCTGAGGTTCTGTCTAACTTACCTAGGGTCTGCCCTAGTCCCCGCACTCTGCTTAGGGCTGGCTTTCGGCGACATGGGACTGTCTTTTTCGTCGATGCTCAGTCGGAAGATTTTTCGAAGTCTTGGATCGCCCGTTTTTTCAGCGTCGCTTATACTAAGTTTTAAACCTGCAGAGAAACGTGAATTCAATTATAACACATATTTATAGTAAGTCAACGAGATATGACTATTCAAAGCCAATAAAGGGCAGCTAGATAAATATGCTGAAATATTTTAATCCCAAATAAATAATTATTGAATCAAAGTCATCTTTAGTTAAATCGACTGTACCTACCTGTATAATCTGGCCGAGGTATATCGACTACATGAACCTTCCATATCATAGGGAGGTGAGAATTTATACTGGCATCCACTTCAGTAGCGGGTGTGTAATTTTGCATTCCTTTGAAGGGTAACGCTAGATTTCGGAGATCAATATCCGGACGTAGTGAAGCTAAAAAATTCAAGAAATCATATAATATTTTACAGTAATAATAGTATGGTTTCTAAGACTTTTTATTTACCTTTAAACTCATCGTTGTCGATCTCAAGTGCGGCTTTCTTCATGTCCAATCCTCCCTGTTCGTATATGCTCACTTTGTCAGACTTATTCTTTTCTTTACCCTGACTATCCGTCGAGCTTTGTCTCGGTCTCTGTCTCGGATCGAGATTCATCAGTCTCGGATCTTGTCTTAATACTGTGGCTTCTTGTGAAGTTGAACTGGACAGACGAGGATCCTAACCAAAAAAAAAATCTTAGATATTATATAAAACTAGGATCTAGGATAAGTAATATACACCGCTCCGAACCTCTACTACCAGAAATCAAAGGAAGAATTAAGTTAGAATATATGGAAGAAACTCAATCATATTCAAATGTCACTTTATCTAAAGAATAAAACGTTTGATGAGTGTTTACTACCAGTCATTCTGGACACTTAAAACCGACATTATAAGGAAACTGCAGGTCGCACGACCCTCGATGGAACGAAATATGTTGGGAACAACAAAGAAAGACCGAGAAAAAATTGAGTGGATAGGACAAAAGACCCAGGTAATGCCATCCACAGAATCAAATCCCTCAAGAGGCAATTGGCAGGTCACCTGGTCAGAAGGACGGAAAACAGATGGACCACAAAAATCACAGCATGGTACCGACGAGGAATTAAGACACCTAGAAGACCAAACTTAAGAAGGGACCATGATATTATGAAATTAGCAGGGATAACTTGGACCCGCGTAGCCAAAATTAGACAACAATGGACCCTATTACCCTTGTTTATATATTCCATACAAGGCTATTACAAAGAGATTATTGAAAAATCATGTGCCTACCTGTCTTGAAACGTTTCTAGGATCTTGTAGACTTCCAGAACCAGAAATATCCGATTGTTGGGAGTTGGTTTGTTCAGTGACGTCACTGTCTTGTGACGTCTGACTTCTTGACTTGCTCATAGACGTCAAAAGCTTAGTCACCTCCAGGGAAATGTCAATTTTTGACAGATCGCCAAGTTTCCCAACTATATCGGCTGTTTTAGAGGTTATATTGCTTGGTAGACTAAAAGAGAAATATAATTATCGAATTTAGAATGTATTCTGTATAGGAAAATAACTATTTTACCTGTGAATATTACTATTTTGACTTTCTTCAAGACTTTGTGACTCCTTTTCAGGCCCATTACCCACAGAATCATGCCTGTCTCTTTTCACATTTTCATCTTCTTCCACTTTTATCGTTAAACGATTATCATCGTCGTCATCATCTGAATACCAGTCATCAATGTTTTGATCCATATCAAAATTGTCCTAAAAAGTCAATAAATACATTAACAAAAACAAGTACTGTATGATTGAAGAAAAAAACTGCGTCAAAGACGGCTGAGGAATGACCATCGATGATAATTTTGGTGAGGTCAATCTCTAAGAGACATCATTTACTAAAATTTACATAAAACTTTAAACTATGCCATTTAAAAATCATTTTTACTCAATATAAAAATAAATTACAACCTTTTTAAGGTCAACTAAATAAATAAAGAAGAGTACGGGCCAAGTAAATGATGTCTAGGGCTTGACCTCTCCAAAATTATCATCGATCGTCATTCCCCAGCTGTCTATGACGCCGTTTTTTTTCGATCGACTGATATAACTTTACCAGTTCATTAGTTGAATCTTGTGACAAGGTATTTTCCGCAATACTGTTGTCTTTTTGATTGGCGTTTATCCTAGCTAGTAGATCTTTAGTTGCCTGAAAAAAAAACAATTATTACACTCTAAATCACACTTTAATTAAATAAAATACAAACCTGAGGAAGCTCAAATTTATTCTGCACGCTATTATCTTTTTTATCTTCTTCTGTGTCTATTTGTAGTTCATCCTCTGTATCAGTTTGTTGTTTATCCTCATAATTTTTTTGAACCGGTCTAATATCGACGTCCATCGATGCGGGGTATTTAGGAATGGGCTGCCTGATATCGATATCCTTTGTAAAATCCATCGCGTTGGACCGAATATCGACATCGTTGATGTTGGATAAAGAAATGTCCCTATGAAATTGGTCGACATTTGAATCTTGCGAGCTGTGTCCAATAGTGGACGGAACAGCTGGTATAGTAGGGAGGGTTCTCATATCTATATCGCCGTTACTATAATTTTATGAAATATTAGATTCATTTTAATTTTTTACTATTAAAAACAGTGGGGACTCGTGAGGGAGTTGCAAAAATGATTTTTTATTGTATACTTTTTTCTTTTTTTTAATATAACTTATGCGATATGACAACAACGCGTAATGTAAGATTAATTCAAAGCACAGGGGCTGTGACGTAAAAATCCGGTAAAGCCAAGTCTACACGTAACGGTTTACATGTCAGTCAAAACGTCAGTAATACGGATATATTATAGCATCTTTAATAATATTTGTATTTAAATCTTTAATAAATGCTTTTAAAAACCTCATATTCTGTATAGCTTCACAAAATAAGGTAATTTTATTTTTTTGGAGATATTTAATGATTATTAACCAAACGATACTATTTTCACAATTTAAAACATACAAATACAATTTTGTAGTAAAATTCCATGTTTGTTTTTTTCTTTTCTGCTTTACTAAACACATTGCTATAATAACTGAAAAAACCACAGGTAAAATTTCTACACTTCTTTATAATCCGTCTTACCTGACAGGTAAAACATTACGTCTAGCCTGGGCTTTAGGGGCGAATCACAATATAAAAAAAAATCGAAAATATACAGACATTATTTTTTCATTTTTTTTATCGATTACCACCTTTCTGAATACCATAACGAGTCGCTACTGCCCTATTAAACACTACTTTACCTGCTTATTCTCATATCCTGATCGCTCCCATAGTTTTGGTAATTTTTTTGGTAAAAATTACCACCCGATTTGTTATCAGAATCCTGTTGCCACCTGGACTGTTTGGTTCTGTTATTTTTTGGCACTTTAATGTCTGGAAAAAATATAAAATTGTTACGTCTCACTGGCATTGCTGTTTAAATTTTAATAAACAATATTAGCCCAGGAATTTTTCTTATAAATAAAAGAAATTATTAATTATTTTAGACCCTAAAAATCTAAAAAGATTTGTCAAAATATTATGCTGTCATCCCCATTGATTAGTAATAATTAAAACACCTACCTACTGGACAATAGAGACATTGACGTGTCTATTTTTTTTTTAATTTTTATGTTTGGTTTTATTAAATGACTAAAGAATACAAGGACACGTAACGCCCATATACGGGCTGAAGCAGAATTTGTGTTGTTAGACGCCATTTTTTTTTGGAGGATCGGATGTAATACCAGCGACAGTTTTAACAATTTTTAATAGTCTGTTGTGTGTAGTGAACTTTATATAAACTTTATTAAGCCGCGTCCAAGCTACTCGACCTCGAAAAATGTTCGCGAACATATATAATTAAACAGATACTAAGTGAAAATTGTGAGATAGGTAGATTTATAAATAATAAAGCCAACAAGTACAGCTAGCCTAGGCCTATTAAGGAGCGCGGAGCGCCGAACGGCTCTAGCTTGTACGCCAGAGCGTGCGTCTGCCTATGCTAGAGCGCGCGCGTTCTTTTTCCGACGGGTGTCGGTAAATCAAAAGGAGCGAACGGCGTGCATTTCGGCGGACATTGTACCGGACACTTGGAGGGGTCTCATTTAATTTCGGGCGTCCATCTGTGATTTATATTTTTTACCGAGTATTCGACAATGGGAGACGCAGTTATTGACTGGAATCGTGAAAAACATTTACAACTAATTTGTTTACACAAAGAAAAGTTGAGTGTGAATAGCTATGTAGCTAGACTTCGTCCATATGATTTCATTTTTGTTAATAAAGACCTTTATGAATATTTTTATTAAAAACCGGAATTATTATGGGATTCTGAAATTAAAAATTACTACTTAATAGGAAGTTTGACACCGGAAATGAAATTTTACCATTACATTTTTAGAAATAAATATACCGAGTGTTTCTGAAAAGTGGTTCACTTCTATAACTTTTTAAATTTTTTAGATAAAAAACGAGATTTGGTATGTTAGTATAGGACATAAATCAGGATTGATCGACGTTTTCATTTATTTTCGGTCACTACCTACCTATTTCACCGAAAATCACAACAACTTTTGATTTAAATGGTACCCTCGGTATTTTTTTACCGTATATGATATAAAATGACATTCTAAATAGAATGATATATTATATGTCAACTTTTGACATTTTCAATTTAAAAATGGCCATAAATAAACGAAACGACAATTTTACTCCAAATACCAAGTACCAAATTATTCGTAAAAAATGCTTTTTCCAAATATGCTGAGCCAGCCTCGTACCATTTGAAAAAATTGAGTTATCAAAAAATACGATTTGGGCGTCTTTTAAGCGGCCATGAAAGGATACGAAAAAAAATTACACTATCAAATATATGTTTCCAACGTTCTTTGATTACAAATTAATAGTTTTAACTCAGTCTTGGCACTCTAGATTGAAATTCAAAATGTTATTTTTATTTAATTGGAATTGTCTTAAATTGACGTATATGTCATTCTATTCAGAATGTAATTTTCTATCAAATAAAGTAAAAAAGTACTGGCAATTGCCCAGTAGCAAAGCCAAATCCGAGACAAGACAAGACAAGTAAAAAAGTACTTAGGATACAATCTAAAAATACAAAGTCATTTCCGGTGAAACAGGAAGCGACCGAAGGTAATTGCATGAATACGGCAATCAATCCCGATTTATGTCATATACTAACAAACCAAATTTCGTTGTATTATCTGAAGCAGCTAAGTTAAGAAAAATATGTTGCACGGCACTGTTTGGAGATATGATAACAATTTGGTCTTGAGTGTTATTGGTCCTTGTATTCTTTTTAGTCACTTTGTTATTGTTAGTAAGGTTGAAAGCTTGAACCAGAGCCATAAAAATAGGGACATAAAAAATTAACATTTTTATCTAAAATACTGAACCATTTATCCCATTAAACGAACACTACACTAATTGTACCAGAACCGTTCTGCTTCCAAAGTGGAAACCAACTTAAAGCCGAATTCAAGAACCTGGAAGGTTCCATATCCGTAACCTGGAATGGGAATCCTCCAACGGTCTAAGACACTCGAAGAAATTTCTTAGAACTTACGATCGAGAAAAATCAAAGATTTTTCGTGATTTAAGAAAAAGGGCAATCTTCGAATTGTCACGGGGTTTTTAATAGGACACTGTCTCCTCAATGAACACCTCAATAGATTGAAGCTAAGAAACAACAGCGAATGCAGATTCTGTAAGGAAAATGCTGTAAAACCGTCTCAGATACTGGCTTTTCTCAAACTCCTGAGACTGTTATAACTCAAGAAAGGAGGATACAACAAATCAATAAGGCCGCTATGGTTAATTTCCCCCTCCTATACAATCTACATCTACATCCCAATACAATCAGCACAATCATTAAATATAAATAAAGACTAACCGAGATCTAAGCCTGCCACCAATTCTGGCGGCAACGGTACAGATATATCAAACATGGACGGTATCCCACCTTTAGTGTCTTTTTCGCTGTCCCTCTCTTCGAAATTCGGGTATCTGTTGCCGTACATGAGCGTAGAATTCTGCGAATTGCCATATTCCGTTTGCGTGGGGGAATTCCCGAAATTGGACGGTTGATTCGAAGTGGTTTGGTCACCGTTTTCGCCCTGTAGAAGTTTCTGTTGGGTCTGGTTGATCAGACCCAAAGCCTCTTCTCGTGATAATCTGGGAAAACCACCCAAAATGTCACGAGGAGCCGTTTCTATGTGCTTGAAAAGGATCTGTTTTAAACCTGTAAACAATATAGCATTATATAGTACCATATAATCGAAAAAATCTTTGACGTCGTTTTTTTACGATATTAAAGTAAATAACTCACCGTCTGATAGGGCTTGACCGTGAGCGAATTTGCAGTTGTCTCCTTGACTGCACAGCAGTCCAGTGTGGTAAAACTTGCAAGGGAACTCGCTGTGCATGTAAGAACATTTTTCACCTTTCGCACAACAGTCCATAAGATAGAACTTACAGAGTTCTAACTTCATTGGCGGGGTAACTTCGTGGGAATAGGGGCAGTCATTCTACAAAAATTTAAAAAAAATGTACTAAATATTTTACAAAAAATATTAGGTAATCACATCCTTTGGGTTAACTCTTGTAAGGTTATTTATACATTTTAAAAATGTACGAAAAGCGTACATAAATATTAGGTAATAACATCCCCTGGGTTAAAAAATATAAAGACTTGAAATTCGAAAGTTTCTTTGTTTTTCTAACATATTGTTATATTTAATTAAAGGTTGTCCTTTAATTAATATGTTATTTGATATCTATTTAAACTAAATAATCTATCTTCTATTTAATATATTATTTTAAAGAAAATATTATTCATTATCCGCGCAAGTATTATTTAATCAATACACAATAATTTTCATATTGGGGGCGCATGTATGCTCTGTTACCTTAGAGACGAAATAAACAAAACTAGTTGTTTGGTGTGATTATAATTATTCGTTTTAATAATATACTTATAGTGTAGTAAAAGATGCTAAATATTAGGTAAATAGTTCAAATATAATATACTTTTTAACTTAAGTTGGGTGCTAGATATATTTTGTTTAACAAAACAAAATTATGAAGCAATATTTTAAGAATTAGGTAAGTAAAAATATGAAATTAGTTATATTGTTAAAAAAAATTTCTTCTAAACCACAAATATTTTTTTCTAAAATTATTAACAACTAAATTACCAGAGATAGATTCTAAAGATAATAAATATTAAACATCATTGTATATAAACGTATATCAAAATATTTTATTTTGTGTGAAAATGAACATGAAAAGGAAAAAAATATAAAGACAAATTTTTCTTACCTTTTGACACTTTCCTTGCATGTAAAAAACGCACACGCCTTGCGAGTCTTGCAAAGGATGATTTTTAGCAGCCTGATCTAGTCGCCGTTGTTCCCTCTCCCTCCTATTCCGTTCTTTTGCCTCTTTTTTTCTTCTATTCTTCGTCGCTCTTCTTCTCATTCTAAAATAATAAGCAATAATTATAATTTGTAATTTCCGTAATTTGAAATACACAGACAAGTATTTTTTTTAAATAATTTAATTTGAAATAGATAGATACCTTTCTTCGCGTTCGCCTGCGCTACCATCCGAGGCACTGTCCTCCGATTTCGACAGATTTCTACCCTGTTGAGACATGGGCAAGGCCTGTAATAATCTAAATTCTGCGTCGGGTGAACCGCTTCTCATGTTCATCATATCGTTCTCTTCAAAGTCCGGTCTTGGCGAATCATTTAACCGTTTATTTTTCTACAAACAAAAGATATTTATAACTCAGAAATATGTTTCGTATTGCATACAAATAAAAAAAAATATTAAAATTATTTATTGACTCAAATATGGGACGCTCATGACTTACCTTAGCTCTGTCTTTTTCTTTATCATGTTTTTTACGCTTCTTCCCTCTCCTTTCCTCCTCTTTAACCTCTTCACCTGCGCTTAAAGCGGCAGCTTCCTTTTCTTTTTTGTTGAGTATTGTGGCAAGAGTTTTTTCGATATTTTTCGCAAAGTCATCATCTACAACAACGTATTTTTTTCTATTATAGCCAAGCAATTTTTAAGTAAAGATTTAAGCGATTGTTAAGTCGACTGGCTGTCCAGTGAACAGACTGTGGTAAATTAAAACAACCGTAACATATCCATTTTATAGGTACTTATTTTGCCCCCCCTGTAACTTTGTTGTGGATGAAGCAAAGATCTTGATTTTTAGTGATCAAGTATTGTCAATATACAGGGTGGTACGAACTGTATTCCGCAAACTTCGGCAGCATATTCTGCAGATAAAAATAAGTAAAAAAGTTCGTATAAATGTATGTCCTAAAATGCTTAGTTTCGTAGACACAGGGTGTAGAAGTTTCATTTTTATTTCGATTTTTTTCAAATAATTTCAGAAGTAACGTCAATAAAAAAAACGGTAAAAATTGGTATCTGGGAGTTTTTTCACATGAGAAATTTGATTTTGATGTCAATATGATTCCTATTTGTAGAGGGCGCCACCTACATATTTTTTAACTGGTTTGCAGATTAATAACTTTTCGTCCGTACCTGTATAGAACTACTGAGTAAAAAGATATACATTTACGACGTTTTATTCGTAAAAAAGGTTCCCAGATACCAATTTTCATGCAAATATTGACGTTACTTTAGGAATTATTTGGAGAAAATCGAAATAAAAATGAAACTTTTACACCCTGTATCTACGAAACTAAGCAGTTTAGAGCATACGTTTATACGAACTTTTTTACTTATTTTTATCTGCAGAATATGCTGCCGAAGTTTCAGGAATACAGTCCGGACCACCCTGTATATGCAAATTTTAATCAATAAGAACATTTTGAACGAACAGCCATGTATTCTTTAAAGGTTCAGGATCATCATCTACAGAATATGCTGCCGGCAAGTTTCCGGAATACAGTTCGAACCACCCTGTATAACTAATAATTATACCGTATAATTTGTGAATTATCGCTAGTCAAAGTTATTTAATTTCCATAGTGACTTACTCAGCGATCATGAAAATTCTAGGGTACTTCTAGAAGTCTTGCAAACTTCAAATTTTGAATTATTGATATTTAGCCCTTATATAGCCTATAAAGAAAGGAAAAATGACAAATCCTGAAATTTCATTATTCCTCATATGAAAAATAGTAATTTTTAAAAGTCAATGCATCATAATTATAAAAAAATAATCTATTTATCACTGTGAGACATTCAATTTTAAAATCAGGACATTCAAAACAGTCAAAATTAAAAAAAAAACGGAGAATCAGTAAAAAAAAATATTTACCAAAACCATCTGCAGGATCCACGTCCTTCCTGTGCTGTTTCTCCCATTTTTCCCTTTCTCTCATTATTTTCTCCCTCTTCCTCAAATGCAGGATACTCTTCTCTGCTTCTGTCATGTGCCTATGTCCTTTACCCCCCTCTCTCCCCCTCCTATCCTTTCTATCCTTCTCTATCCTCTCCTCTGGAACTTTATCCCTTTCATCACCAGACCTTTCTTTGTCGGGTGGTCGGTCTTTGACAACCTCCTTAGAGTCTCTGGTGGGGGATTTTTTGGAGACGGGAGGTATGCCTGGTATGGCAGGTGGGACGTTCGGTATAATAGGTGGAGGTACAGAGGGTTCAGGGTTGGGGGGTTCAAATTGAAGAGGTGTTTCTTCATCGTCATCGGTAATTTCACCGTCTTCGATATCTTGTTCTTCTTGGTTTGATGGTTTGCCCGAATCGGCATCACTGTGAAGAAAATGGTTATAGGGGACTGAATTTTTATTCTAAATTTATCATTTTCGACGCCAGAAGCATATGATATACAATTGTTGTATTAGCTAAGTTATTATTCTTCCCCAATATAGTTTACAACAGTGCCGAGTGTTAGCGAATTATGTCAAAAAAATATAGTTAGTAGTGCTAGAATTTATAATAATGATTTTCATTTAAATTTCAACGAGTGCGATCTGTATATTCTGACTCTGACACAAATTGTGGGAATTACCACCACGCTTGATAGCCATTTTCGTATAAGATCAAGCATATTGAACTATTTTGGAGGTCTACAAATTGATAGAAATAAAAGCACAATGTGATGTCTAGTACTAGTAGTAGTACTAGGCATGTAGTTTATACTAGTACCATTTTAGACGCAAAATTCGCCAGTGTTTTCTACAATTGTGGGGTCTATTACAATTTTTTTTCGTGTATCTTGGTCATTTTTAACCAATAGCAGCAGTTTCTTGTGGTAGAAGCAAAAATTACTGATTGTAGTCTGTTTGCCAGTCAAATGATTATCTTGTAATCATAGATTTAGTTAAATATTATGAAAGAAATAGTAAAAAATATATTATAAAAAATTTGACTTGCTTGATGCGAACTAAATGAATCGATGACATCATTCCTACAAAGTTTTTCTCCATAATTACTAAACTTAAATTTAGATTTTCTTTAAAAATAAACCATATATAGTAGTAAGTGAGTTTAATAATTTGGTTATTTTGTTTTCTTGTTATTAAGTTTCTTGTTAATTTTTGATCAGAAATGGCATAAACAAACAATTTTATAAGTAGGCTATGAAAACGAAAATCCATTTTGGCATTTAGTATTGTGCTAATAAGTTTTCAATTATTTTTTTAGTTAGTAAAACACCTAAATCAGGGTATTAAAAACCTATCTCATCAGCTTTAGACACCTCTTGTCTTAAGCTTATCCTGTTACTATAGCTACTATAGCTTTTCTGTGATATAAACATCTATTTTTAAGGCTGATTTATACGTATTCAGTAACTGACGCCAATATCACTGGTAGACAGCTGATAGATACTGGTCTCAACCTTGGAGCGCCAGGGGTTACTTCTACATGCGGGTAGAAATGGACCGACTACCCTTGCGGTATATCACCACCCCAGAACTGTAAGGACATCGAGGAGGACCATAGTCAGGTCCTCACTAGAGGAATTGACCTCAAATCCAAGGAGGCAACAGAGAAAGAGAGATATATCCTCTATTATAGATCCGGGAAAACACCGGTAGGTGTCAGGTCTAAGGAGAGACCAAGTTAAAGAGGTGGAGAAAATGGAGACTGATCCTCCAACCGGAGATAAGCTCCACGACTGTGAAAGGCACGGAGGATTAAACTCCAACCGTGGAAGGATGTATAGCCTTGTAGGGGGTAAATGCTCACTCCTCGGAGGATTGTTATGAAAAGGATGGGTATGATGTGTGAATTATAACTCAAGAAAGAGGGACACAATAGATGTTTAAGGTAGCGGTAATTAATCCTCCTTCCACTCATTCTACACCACTGGTAGAACAGCACTGGTATGGTGGTAAATACCTTTTTGTGTCAATCACTGATGGCATGAAATGTTTTTCCCACACCCTGTATAAAAACTTTCCTTTTTTAATTTCGAATAAATTAGAGTTTCTGTTCAATCTGGCAACCCTGCTTTGAGCGTAATAGGTATTTCCATTCGATTCGTTCTTTTATATACAGGGTGATCATTTGAAAAATATGTAGCAATCGAAAATATTTCTTAAGGCAAAAAATTCAGATTTCAAATATATATCGAAAGATTGGATTGGATAAACCAAAAAGAGGCGAGACGACCGAGAAAAAAACGGTGTCATATAGATAGCCTGGAAATAAAGATCTACGTTTTGTACGTAAAATTACGTGGTGAATGTCAATGGATATGTACCTATCGAATTATTCCTTATGAATTGTATATGTACTTAACAATGTAAACAAATACAAAATTAAAATAAAATAGTTAGAATTCGTGGTAGGTATACCGAATTCGTAAAAAAACCATCTAGTTATTTTAATTTTGGATTAATTCCATTTTAGTTTGTTATAATGAAAAAGTATAGGTACCTACAGGGTCTTTTATAAAATCTGCCTTTGCATTTGCAAAGACATTTGTCTTTGCAATTTTTTCCCTGATCTACCTATATAGTTAAAATTCTAAAATTGTGGGTACTTACCAATGTTTTTGGCATTAAATCATGTAAGGCAAGACGCATATAGGTATGTGAAAATGAATATTAATATGGTTTGTTTTTTTTGCTCTGTATAAATTAAAAAAAAACACCTATTTCCTCATGACAGATATAGAAAAAAAAATCTTTTAAAAGTCAAGGGAAAAATAATATTTTTTTAGATGTGAAATTAAAAATTCAGAAAATTTTGGGAATAATTTCATAATCTCTTCTAAATTTAGCTGTGTCTAAAATTCCTATAAACATTTCTGAAGCAAGTGAAAATGTGTTTATCGATTATTTCGGTTTCACTATCTTTCAAGGGCAAATCGATGGGCTTTTTGAAAATTGTTTTCAAAACCATAAAAATATTTTCTCCAAGGTCATCGAGCGATCCCATTCAGGTACACAAGCACTGTTGCCAAGCGATCGATATTATATTTATAAAGTGAAACGTCATCAATGACTACGTTCCTGAATCAGACGATTCTTCGACTTTATTTGATTATTTTTAAACAATATTTTGATGTTATAAAAATAATACAGAGACTATCCCACACCATAACTTATTAGGCTATTTATGTAAACATGCAAATATTAAATAGGCACAGAACGTATCCGTAATGCAAAGAAATGCGTTTTAGAAAAAGCAAGTTCTTCTGAGAGCACTGAATGGATATTGGAACGTAGCCAAGAGCAATATGGAGCCAAGATTAGTGATTATTGACTTTTCAAATGAAAAAATACAACTTATTGCAGCTAATCTTGGATTATAAACAAGAATAATAATAAATTTCACTATAAAATCTAAAAAAAAATGATTTTTACCTTTAGGTACAATAAAAATTGGCAACGTAGGAAGTGTATCAAAATGACACACTTTCTTTGTCTCGCTAATCGGTCAAAAATTGAGCTGGTTACCTACATTTCCCCAATTTTTTCGGGGAAATTGATTTGATTTAGCGTGACCAACTCAAAACTTGACCGATCGACCTGTTGGAAAAAATATTTAATAAACAAAAATGGTGTAATATCCGCGGCTACGCCCATCGATGACGACGCTGGAAAATGGCGATTCCAGCGTGCTATCCCGTAACATTTAAATCGAATTTTAAATTATGAATAACGTAATTTCGAGAGATATACTTCTGGCGTCGGAAACGATCGATTCCATCTTGCTTGGCGAAAAAATGAATGCAAACCTTTTAATATCACATACGAGCGCCATTGCGACCTAATTGTAGGTAGTCGTATATTCACTAGGCAGGAATATGTTAATGAAATGGCATGAAAAAGTCACTCATTCACTGTAATCTGTCCTGAGCAGTTCATGGGACAGACATAATAATTTTAAATTACTCATATTTTCATGTTTTAACCGACTGTTCTCTTTGGCGAGGAGACCACAAATGATTTTCTTCTCGTGGAATTTCGATTATTGAGCCCGTCGCCCCAGAAACCGGCCAATCCGCAGCCGCCATTTCTATTTTCGGACCAATCACCGAGCCTGCTTGTAGGTATCAAAGGTTTTCGACCTTCAACCGACCCGGTTTTCTCCTTGCAGTGCCTCCGTTTTACGCGATTATCGACACTATGTCCAATATCGATAAGGAAAATCCTTATTTTTTCTTAAATTAGGCACATAATTGATAGAAAATTTAAAAAACGAACCTTAATTTTGACTAGATTTTACAGCTCTAATTAATTCTAATTAATAGCTATAGCGTTTAACGCAAAAAAAATGAAATAAACGAATAAATAGATATTTTAGAGCCTTTAGAATACACTGTAACAAATACAGACATATTACTAGTTGTAATAAATATTTTACTTTTAAGAGAAACATGAACCAAATAGGAAAAAGATTGCATTTATAAAAGAAATCTTAAAAGAAAAAGTCCTAAAATGATTTTAGACACCAGGCGTCCTCTATTAATGGCACACTCTACTAACTGATATTGTTTTGAAGTGACCTATCGATAGTTCAAATCTGGTTCAAATCATTACTACTAGGGGGACCTAAAATATCAATGTTGACATTTTATTTAAATGACACTGACCACAGATAACAGAAAACAGAACTAATTGACACTGACAGCCAGACATTTTCCTAATTTTCTGGACTTCAAAAAGAAACAATTTTTGGATGTTTAAAATTTTGTAGAATTCCAGAAATGGAGAAAGTTTTACAAAATACAACGTCCGATGGTTTTTATGCAGGTAATATTATACTACAAACACAACTTGGTATGTTAGGTTAATATGAATGATTTTTTTATACAGAAAATGAACTCAAGAGACAGTTTCATATACCTAAACGAAAATCGGAGGAAATATCAACGGATAAGAATGTAACAACACCATATAACATGATGCAAACGCAAACACATCAAACACCATTAGCCAATTCCTATTACAATTACTCTTATGATCCGGGTACATCAGCAGCTTATTATGGCAATTATGCACAGTATTATTCTCAATACCCAGCACCAGGTAAGTGTTATGTTATAATTTTATTAAATAAACTACAAATTTCTTGTTTTACCTAGGAAATATCACTCCAATATATAAATTTAATGTTGCACCGCCACCTCCACCGCCTCCACCAGAAAACTCAATTCCTACAGTAGATCCTATTAAACAGAATATCTACAAAGCCTTAAAAGATATCAAAGAAAAACCGAAGAACTACAAACAGAATATTTGTGAGTACTACTTAAAGTTTTTAAAACTTAGATAACATACCTGATATAATATTAATCCTTAGTTGAAAGTACTGCTCCCGACATAGCTGATTCATCCCTACCCAAAGATCTCAAGCTTCTATTTCAACCGTTATTCTGTAAGCTATGCACCGCTCAGTTATCTAGCAACCAGTCTGCGAAGATGCATTATAAGTCGAAGAATCATGAGAAAAAAATCCGCAAATGGTTAATAGAGTATTCAGAAAAATCTGGTGAGCCTTTACATAAAAGAGCAAGGGTATCTAACGAAAAACAAAGTGAGGTAATGAGGTTGCAGATGGTAAAAATAATTTTTTTATTAAATAAAAGGTTTTTCTTGCAAGGGAGCTGATAAAAATCCAGCCTGGTTTCACTGTGATGTATGTGACTTGCAGTTAACTGGGAGACTTCATGCTGAGTCACATTATATGGGCAAAAATCACCAAAAGTAAGTGGCAGGGTATTTTTAAGCTTGTAATAACTGTGTTAATTTTTTTTAGGGCTCTTTTAGGGTATAAAGCACCTGCTGGACAGGGTTACTACGATGCTACGGGCAAATGGGTGAGAACCAAGTAAGATTGAATTAGCTAATTGTGGTTTTTAAGTAATTATACTAATTAAATATTGTAGTCCTACAAAATCAAAGTTGTATAATTTTGAGAATGGAGAAGATAACTTTGGGGCAGCTTTTAAAGCGACAGTACCAAAAACCAGTGCTCCAAGAGAAGTACCAAGTTCCAGCAAAAAAGAAGCAATACCTACAGCGTTTCATTGTGACGTTTGCAACATTAATACAACCTGTCAGGATCAGTTAGATAATCATTATAGGTACTATATAAAAAATACTGAGTGAAATGATAATATTTTTAAATAATTATTCATATTTTTATTTTAGGGGACAAAAACACTTGAAAAAATTGAAACAATTGGGAATGACTAATTACAGTGAGCAGAGGGAAATCATTGAAGCTATTGGTAAGGCTCATACAATTTTATGTTTGTTATTTTTTAATTTTATCCTTGTATATGAAAAGGATTTTATCTACAATTATTTTATTTTAATTATTTTTTAAAAATCACCACATACGACACGGAGTATTGTAGCTAAACGATTAGATTTTTACAAATTGTAAGTTTTGGGTTCGTTGAAGGTCTATTAGAGCTACAATTTAAAAATATTTTTACAAGATACAGAGTGTCCCAAATAAGTAAAAAATATTATAGTTGTATTTTTTTAAATGGAACACCCTGTATATTATTCTATTTTTGGATTCTACGATTGAAATAAAGGTAAATTTGATTAAGGTTTATCACACTTAAACCTTACGGTTTTTGAAATATTTTCAATTTTATAAAATTGCAGTAAAAATTAAGGCTTTATTTCTCCAAGGGTATCAAAGTTTTTAATACTAAATATTTACTGAAGATTATTTATTGATCAGATATTGTGTTGCAATAATAAAAATTTTACTACCTTATACAGAGTGTCCAAAAATTTATATTAAGTAATTACTAGCTTTAAACGGCAATAATTTGTTTAATTTAAACGGAACACTCTATATATTATACGTCAATCAGATGCACAATGTAATTGTCTATCAAATTGTATTGTTCCATTTTTACCCATCTCTTCAAGTTTTCATAGAAAATGCATTTTCTTATAATTTAGACCTCATTTATCACTATACCCATGGAACATTGATATTTTAGCTTATTTTTAAAAATGTAACAAATTTTCAAAGGGTACAGATACTAATATTGTTGATATCGTTCGCTTATTTAATTAAAAAATAAAAAAAAACTGTTTAAATATTATTTGTTAAAGAGGGCCAATTAATATGATGCCAGTATTCAAACTACATTAATTGACTGTTTACGTTGTATCCTTGTTTATATATTAATCAAGGGTTGTAGTAATAATTGCTCCAAATACTAAAAAACTAAATTTTGTGTGTGTATTAGACAGTGTGGTAAAAAGTAACACCTTATAAATTTTATTTCATTTATTGACGAATGCTTATTTATAAAAACAGAGACATTCATTTTTATATCTTATTATTATATTGATTTCTGAGCCAAATCCACATTTATTTAGAATATTTTATCAATTAAAACAATTTAAAAGTATGTAATTAACTAATTTTTGGTAGGAAATAATGGTGGTATATTTAATTGGTACACACTTTTACAAAGATTTAAATAGTTTTTTTTGTATGCCAATGGGCTTGCAATATTTACCATCTGTACAATTTGTACATATTATGGTGCTATAAAAAAATCTGAAATGTCAATATTCCATGGGTATAGTGATAAATGAGGTCTAAATTATAAGAAAATGCATTTTCTACGAAAACTTCAAGAGATGGGTAAAAAATGGTATAATACAATTTGAAAGACAATTACATTGTGCATCTGATTCACGTAAAATATATAAGGTGTTCCATTTAAATTAAACAAGTTATTGCCGTTTAAAGCTAGTAATTATTTAATATAAATTTTTGGACACTCTGTATAAGGTAGTAAAATTTTTATTATTGCAACACAATATCTGATCAATAAATAATCTTCAGTAAATACTTAGTATTAAAAACTTTGATACCCTGGGAGAAATAAAGCCTTAAAATTTTTACTGCAATTTCATAAAATTGAAAATATTTCAAAAACGGTAAGGTTTAAGTGTGATAAACCTTAATCAAATTTACCATTATTTCAATCGTAGAATCCAAAAATAGAATAATATACAGGGTGTTCCATTTAAAAAAATACAACTATAATATTTTTTCTTATTTGGGACATTCTGTATCTTGTAAAAATATTTTTAAATTGTAGCTCTAATAGACCTTCAACGAACTCAAAACTTATAATTTGTAAAAATCTAATCGTTTAGCTACAATACTCCTTGTCGTATGTGGTGAACAACCCTGTGTACAGAAACTTAAGAATTTTAAGTGCATACCTAAAGTAGGTATGCACTTAAAATTATATGCTAGGTACATACTATAGTTGGACTGTACTTACTATATTACAAATATCGTAATCTTAAACCCATACAGGGTGTACAAAATTCCATGCCAAACTTTCTAAAATATAATATAATTTTTCAAAATAAATTAATAAAATAATTTAACAAATAACTAAAGGAGCTACAGTTGCAGGACACTGTATTTGGTTTCATGAGATATCTATAGTGTGCAAACACTGTGCATATAATATATTATATTTTTAGTTACACCTACTGTAGAAGTGCTGACAGAAAAAGACTTGAACCTGTCAGTGTATAGAACGCCATCTGGCGATTATTATTGCCCAAGCTGTAACAGCACTTCGAACTCAGAGGGACAATTTTTGCAGCACTGGACCAGTAAGAATCACATGAAGAAAGCATCACAGAAAAGAAACAACAATTAATTATATTATTAATGGGTAGTTTTCTATATATTGTTCAAAGTTTATTTTGTTTTAAATCCTTTTTCCTTGGAATTTTATTATGATTTGTTAGGTATATTTTTAATTTGACTTACAATGACTTACAATTTATTACATTGAAAAATTCACGCAGATGTATAAGATACACGAAAAATTTCAATAAAAAGTACGGTTCAACTGTTTCAACTGGGTTTTATTTGATATAGCCACACTGTATCTATACCACAACCTACGGTTTTTATCGGTGTCATGTTCGGTAAAGGAAATCTACATGCTAAAATATTGCAAGTAGGTTTACACTCATCGTTGAATTTTTTCTCTAAGTCTTTCATCTAAAATTCCAAAAAATAATATTAAAATATTCGAGACACTTAAATACAGATGATACAACCATTTGATCCACTCCAAAAATAACTATAACATCATAGTTAGAAATATTATATTTCCATAGATCTGCTTTAATAAATTTTGAATTCTTCGAACTCAATCCACTTTTAAATGCTTTTATTTTGGAATATAACACTAGCCAAGGGTTTAATTCTACACCGTGAGCTTCAAAGCCCTTTTTAGCTGCCTCTAAAAAGAAAACCTCTAAGTAATCTATGTAAAATTGAATGTAATAATAATAAATGACTTAACAATGTACCTATAACAATACGACCGTCCCCTGAGCCTAAATCCAGCAAAGAACCCTTACTGAAGCCTTTTAGGGCCTTGAAAATATTCGATACTTGCTCATTGGTGGCTGGTATGTACGGTAAACAGTATTTCCTCAAAGCCGGACTTACAAATGGGGCACAGATTACCGTTAAACCTAGGGCTACTCCTCCTAAAATATATCGAAGGTATTGTAATAAAGAGACAAGGTAAAGTAAGTGATTTTACCTGTGATTCCCACTAATATTTTGCCAGTCAATGATAAACCGAATGGTTTTTGTTTGTTGCTAGACGATTGAAAGTTTAACAGGTCACTATCTTCGTATTGTTTTGAAGAAAAACTCATTTTTCTAATTAAAAACTCAATTATGAATGTAATTGTTTTTCATTCAAATTATACCCCATATTTTGGTTGATAATTACATAATTGACAACTGTTGACAACATAATATCTGAGATTTGACAGGCAATAGCTGATTTCATGTCACAGTTTATTTTTCTTTTGTTGAGAGAAAAATTTGATTTTTTCACTGATAATTGGATTAAAAGTACAGTACACAGTGTGATAATAATAAGTTAAATTATTCTTAATCATTGACTTAACTTAATGTGAAAAAGAAAAGAGAAATATTAATATTTTCAGTAGATATTTATAGTAGTAGATTGTCTTTAGATAGGTGAGCTTATCATACTTTATTTTATCATAGAAAAATGTCATGTGTACAGCTATTTTTGCATCTGTTGCTCTTTATTTTGTAGATTTTATTTTTGAACCTAGGATATGGTATTTACAGTTCAGCTATTGTGTAGAATTGTCCCTAAAATAAAAATACAGTCTTTTGGAGTCAGTTCTGTATGTCATGAAGCAATCAACAAAGGTATAAAACTAGTATAAATTACCCTGACTTATACAGGATATGAGAAAATATGTTTAACTCATTGGAAAATATACTTTTCTAGCTACTGATGTACCTTCATCATTTTCCTTTAGTAAAAATTACGAAAACAAATCAGACATAGAGGATATAGTCACTAGCATGACAGTTTATCCCGATTTTTTAAACCCTAATGAAGAAACAAGTCTTATGAATGAATTAGAACCTCACATGAAAAAATTACGCTACGAATTTGATCACTGGGATAATGTAAAATACATCTCTAATTTTTTTTATACTAAATCACATTTTGGTTAAAATTTTAAGGCTATACATGGGTATAGAGAAACCGAACGCTTAAAATGGAACGAAGAAAACACTGTTATTTTAGATAGGGTACGAAAAATTGCATTTCCCTCCAACATAGCACCATTAAAATTCGTTCATATACTCGATTTAGATAAAAAGGGCTGGATTAAACCACACATAGATGCTGTTAGAGTAAGTAAAACACATAAATTTGTTGCTAATTTTTTTTATTTCTTAGATAAAAGTTTATTTTCTCGTGCAATTGTCACTTCCCAATCGTCTTTATGACCAGGCTTAACATATTTCTTTATTTTGGGTCTTTTTCTGTGTGCTCTTTTGGATGGTTCCAGGATATTTCGTTTTTGAAGGCTCACAAACCTACAAAATAATTAAAAAAATTATTACAGCTAAAAAAATATAAAAATACCTTACCTGTCACTTAATATATTCCCTTCTTTTTGCAAAGATCTTAGATTTCCTGATATTTTTTCACCCATCTGGAAATCAAATCCCGGATCGTCTATTTTGCTGGAACTCAATACTTTTGGTTCCAGTTTCTTTTTATCTAACCTTACTTTACGTAACTCCCTTAGTTTTTTCTGTTTGTTCTCGATTTTTTCGAGATTCTGTTTGAGAACCTTAATTTTGTGAATGTCTCCAATTTTCTTCTTCTCTCTTTTCAGAGATGCTCTTTGTTTTTCTAACTCCAGTTGTTCCCTTTGTTTCCTGCGTTGTTGTAGGGTTTTCTTTTTGTTTTTTGTTGGAGGGTTAATGCTAATTCTATCCAAATCATCTTCATTTTCTTCCTCTTTTATTTTTTCATTTATGTTTAATCCTTGTGCAGTTTCGGTAAGCCATTCATTGTGTTGTGCATCTTTTGTGACTCTAAAATTACAAAAAAATATAATTATTCATGCTTTCTTTTACAATTTTTAAGAAAAAATAACCTTCTTGCTGAATGTTTTTCCTGTTTTATAGCTTTCCTATCATAATTCTCTTCCTTTTTTATGGTACTTTTTGATTTCATATTTTGATTCAAGTCTAATCCTTGTGACATTTCACTCATCCATTCTTTTTGTTGCTTGTCTTGTGATACTTTTCGAAAAATATCCTTTGTAACTCTAAAATTACAAAAAAAACTTAATCACATTTCTTTTGCAATTTTGAGGTTAATTCACCTAGCAAGATGTTTTTCCTTCTTTATAACTTTTGATTCTTCCTGTACAATGATTTGTAGTAGTTCTTGGTGGTCTTTGAACGAAGGATTGTAAGACATGCCGGGATGGGGGAGCTCTACTGCTGGTAAAACGCTTCTTTTTTTATGTAAATCTTTTGGAGCCTCTTTCGCTATTGGTTATTAAAGAAATTAGTATTTTTGCAACACTTCCTTGATAACTTACCTTTCTTTTGTATAGTAGATTCGCTAGAAAGGGATATTGTGTCACCCCATAGATCTAAGCTAAAGTTCCCACGTTTATTTCTTTCATTTTCACGTCTGATCTCACTCAACCTTCTTTGTGAAACAGCATCAATTTCTTTAGCCTTCCGATTTTTATCCTCTTTCTTTATGAGTTTCTTTTGTCTCTCTTCTTTAGTTTTTACGCGATTTCTTTTTTTAATCGGATCAGGAACGCCAGTATGTGGTTGTAACGCTGCAAAGCCCTTTAGCGGTCTTGTAGCTCGAAGTCTACGTTTCTCTCTCAAAGTTAATAACTCGGTTTGTGGTTTGGTGTCGAGAACAAACAGTTGTTCGTTTGTGAGTACTTCAAGAGGGGCTCCCAAGCGTTCTTCTTCGCGTTGGTCATCAAGAAAAGTCTCGATATCTTTCACTTTGGTGTGTTTTCTCCACGATAGTTTGGATTTTTTCGAAACACGCTTTCGTTTAGTGCCAGAAATTGCCATTTTTATTACTAAAAGCACCGAATATCACACTAATTAATGGAAACAGTCATAGAGTTTAAAAGAAAAAGTCTAAAACATGCAATATTCAATACATAACCTAAAATGTTGACAGTTGACACTGTTGACAGTTCAGGTTGCTGCTGCCACAGATTTAGATATTGGGTTGCCACTGAATGAAACTCTAAAAATTATATATGATCCAGGGTTGTAGACTTGCTAATTTTAAATTTTACACTGTTATTTCGCGTTAGCTGTAAATTTTTGATTACTAAATTTCTTATTTTAGTTTTGCGGAGATACTATTGCTGGATTGAGCCTGCTTACTGATTCAGTTATGCGACTAGTTCACGAGAAAAATAAGGATTTATATGTAGATATACTTTTAAAACGAAGATCCTTGTATGTTATGAAGGGAGTAGCTAGATTCGAGTATACGCACGAGATTTTGAGTAACGAAAGCAGTATTTTTAAAAACCAGAAAATAGAGAAAGATAGGCGTATAAGTGTGATATGTAGAAATGAACCCGATCCCAAATATAAAAATTAGAAAATTATTATTGCATGTTTTTTTCTTGATAGAAACTTTATAAATAACAATAAATTTTAATTATAAAGAAACTTCTAGAAATACCAGAGATATAGCGTGCGCATCTAAAAGTTTTCTTATGCCATGTCTACAGGGGAGATCAAAAAGTATTAACAGTAGCTAATAACTTCTAATCTTTTTGAGTTCTCGTCTTCATAAAAAGATAACATTTTCTAGGTCTCCCAAACTTTGTTTGGACTACACAGTTTTAGCATAATTCTTTCATATTAAAAATGTACCAAATATTGTACAAAATTTTTAGATAATATCTTCCCTTCTGGGCTGGTATTTGCAGTCCACCTAAAAAAGAAAATATATTCTAAAAATACGTGGTAATATTTAACAAAAAAAAAACAGAAAAATTTTATAACATTTATTTTAGATTATACATCAGTATAATACACTTTTTACAACATTAAAAAATCTAGACTTTAAGTTACTTATTTATCTATAAAATTAAAATTCTTGTTTGCAAGTTAAAAAAAGCAAGCTTCTCTATGTTTGCTCTTTCTAAATAAGTACATTGATCCAATAACTATATATTTAGGAACTAATATGGATGATAATAAATAAATAAAAACGAACTAGATTTTTGGTGCAATAAAAATATAAACACACTCAGTACTATGGGTATCTAGGTAATACTATATTCTAACGTAGCACTTAATGTATATTATATAAATTAAATACATATTTATACTAAAAAATTCCCATTCACTTTTTAATACTTATCAGTAAAGTTGATGCATTGTTCATTAATATATTATATACAAAAGAGAAGAAAAATTTTGTTCATAAATGTTATGAATACTATTACCATATGATCGAAAAAAAACGGCGTCGGAGACGGCCGGGGTATGACAATCGATGGTAATTTTAACGATTTTTTATTTTTATTTTGGATAAAAATAATTTAAAATGTTTTTTAATGTCGATTTTTATTAAATAACTTCTAAAGACTGACCTCGCCAAAATTACCATCGATTGTCATTCCCCGGCCGTCTCTGACGTCGTTTTTTTTTCTCGATCGTACGGTACTATAACAGCAATATAACTAAAAAATAAAATAATTTGTGACAGACATTCATCAACTCATCAAACACACCACATATTCTAAATAATAAAAATTTTGATACCAGCTGTACATTCAAAAATTATTTATTTTAAGCAGAATTTACGGGGTGTCCGAAATTATTGATTGTCCAGAATTTTGGACAACCTGTATACAACTAATGTTAATATGAATGCACCTAGGTTTAGGCAACTATTTGTGAATTAGTTGACCATTAAATAAAGGGAAATAATTTAATATTTTTTCTTAGAATGACGCTTATTTTTAACTATATATTTACTTTCTTATACATTATACTCTATTTCTAAAACAGTCTTCATTTGTCTAATAGAGAGATATTCCAATACTATTGAACACAGATAGGTACAGATTTAATAATATTTTATTTTGTTTATAGTTTATTGTCGTTTAGGTATTATTGTATTTAATCCTTGGTGTAGGTATATAGCGCTGAACATCAATGTTATAAATTGTATTATAATATTTTTTGATGCAAGGTTAAAGTCTTTGTATGGTTGTGTGGTTTGATTTGATCAAAAATATTGTTCTGTTACCGATTTTATATCTATCTGTGTCCAAAAATTAAAACTACTTAAGTAAGTATTTCTTCTTTGTTTTATCGACTTATGTCTCTATTCCTCTGAAGATTCTCTAACTCCTCCCTAGTGAAAATTATTTGCTTATTACTCAAACTATTCCTGAAATTACTCTCGAAATCCGACGGTATTTCGGTATTTTTATTCCCCCCGGTATTTTTGTTGGTCTGGCGATGTTGTCGCTGGTGGCGGATGTGCCTGGACGCGGGGAATTGCAGCGTTGCCAAGCGTTCTACGCGCTCCCTTTCGGCGAGACGTTGGTTTTCTTCGTGGATTTTACGTAAATTGCAGGCGTTTATACGGGCGCTGTTGTAGTGGGAAATGTCTGTGTTTTCGGGAAATTCGAGGTAGCATATGTCTACGGTTGGGAGCAGGAGTACATCACTAAAACAAGGAAAAAAATAATAATGTTTGGTTTCTTTATTATTAACCTGTCAATCTCATAACCTATGTGGATCTTGCATGGTTTGGATTTTAACGTGTAAGACAGTGATGTAGACAGCTTAATGTAAAATCAAATGTATTAAAAAGAGGTCAAAGTTTGGTTGATACATTTCTTTTATGCGGTATTACCAGATTTTTGCATCAAAATTTGAAACCGCACAAGTAGGCGTTTACGAAAAATGTTGCATCTAGGGATGGAACTTTATTTTTCACAATTAGTTACTCATTTTACTACAGCTCTGTAACAGATTATATTTAACTTAGATATAATGTTTTCATTTCAGTAGTATACATAAAAGTTTTTAAAATAATTTATTTTTGCTACAGACATTTTCCTAAAGAGGTAAAAACCGTCAATACTGTGCGCTGCTTTTTATTTTGTCTCTCTGTCGGTCAACCGGTCATTTATATTTATCTCTGTCGCATGCGTTAAAATCTTTGAATAAGAAGATTAAGGAAGGAGCATATCAAAAATCTTAGGTACACCGCGATGGGCCTCAAATATGGCCGACTTAAATTCCGGTTTATCAGTGTCGTTCTAATTTTATTTAAAAAATGTAAAACTATGATGTAGGTTAGACGTGGGGTAGACTCAATAATTTGTTGTTTTATTTTACGTTGTGAATAAATGTTGGTAGTTATTAAAATTGTTATAAAAATATATAATTCTAATAAAAATAGATAAGTTATAATAAGTATTTATTAACACAAACATCCGATACGCTACTGAAGCAGGTAAGTCAAATTAACGTATCTAAATTCTTTGACATCTAATCTTTGACAAGTAATAAATAAAAGCTAAAATGTAAGAAAAATATATAATTTAGTTAATTTAAGTGAATTTCATAAATGATCGGTTTACTACACGTATGTATATTATATAGTCACTTACTAGCGAAAAGTTGTTCCATTATTTCACCCAATTTTTGCCGAGATCTACCGCACGCTACACAACCAACTATTTTAGAGTCTTTTTCGATAAATCGCGATAGTGTCACTGTTAATTTAAGTTCTGCCACAATTTCTATCTAGATTTACTACCTTTATACACCTATCAGTAGTAGAATAAATAATAAATAACATAAAATAAGCTCCGTAAAGACTGACAAATCCACAAAATTTCAAATCAAATTCAAATGTGTCAAATGAATCGTCAAACAGAACTGTCAAGGATCCCCACCCTAGAGAGCTTTTATGGTGGCTTTTCCGCCCACCATGCATGAATACATGGATAGCATTATGCTCCTTCCTTAGTCTTCTTATTCAAAGGTTAAAATACAGACCACGCAAATGACGCGATGACGTGTCCAGGATGGTATGATTTTACCTATAAACGGTTGATGTTGAATTTTTTCCAAGTAGGCTATGAATTCTGTCAAGTTCGTCTGCTTGTAGATGTGAGGCGTCGCGTACGATGGTTGGGATTGGTTTAGGGGTAGCTGTAATAGAAAATAAACAAAACATCAGCCAAAAGTTGACGTTATCCTTAAAATCTATGAAAAGTATAAATTGGTTCTAAAAGAAATAACGAAATAGTTCCTATTTTATTCTGATCGAGAAAAATATTTCTTTAAAAATTTAGTATTTTATCAAAAAATGCTTAAATGTATTTAAACGTATCAACACTTTTTTTTGTTAAGAATACTAGAGGGACAAAAATGTCACTGATTAATTTTACCAACTGCATGCTCTTCATGCAGCAAACATTCTTTTTCAACGACAATCATGCTATTGCAGGAAAATTTGATAGAAAAGCAGTATATACAGTGAAACTTCTATATCTCGAACTTCTTTAATTGGAAAAAAAAAAACTGTATTATACTATATTATTTTGTGAGTGTTTTTTTTCGAATACAGCATTAATTTAGCGTATTTTTCTTCGGTAATTCGAATTTTCTCTTGCTTGAGGTTCGAGGTATGGCGAAGTTCCACTGTGTTTCAGTTTAGTAAGTACTACGTGTTATTTTATGCATTGGAAAAAACGACGATATTATCTTGAAAATAGTATTATTTCAATTTAAATATTTTGTACAATTTTATATTTTTAACAAAAAATTGTTTTTCCAAAGCAAATAATAGAAACCTTGTGTAAATTAAATGTATATTTATTTGTAACACTGTATGTATTAAAAGCTTTACAAATTTGTGTTTATTGATAAATAACATATCACAACAATTCTACAGTGGTGTTTATTGACGATTTCCGAAACGAATTTACCCAAGATTTCTATGATAACGCAAATATTAGTTTTGTTAATAAGCACACTCACAAACTCCAACCGTGCAAGATGCTCCTTTGAAGTATCTGTCCGCTCTCAAGCTCTTCCCTTCCTGGTCCTCCACGCTGATGCCCAATCCCAGGTTCCTGCCTCCCGCTTTGTTCCAGGCTTTTGTAGCAGGTTTCACGCTTAGTTCCACCCAACGGGATGTCTCTGAAACCACTTTGCTGTCGGACAGCCTCTTCTTAACTGAAACGAAAATATATACAAGTTAAAAATACTGAAATATTAAAAATTAGAACAGACTACTCTTACTCATTCTACACTCTACAAACAGGAATAGAATGTTATTAATTATTTATCTTTGAGAATAACTTACCTCTCCGTTTTTTCTGATATTTGGTGTACCAATAGACCGAAACACGTAACAACTTGTCCTCTTCCACACTGTCCAGATTGTCACAATCATCTTTCTTTGAACTGAAGTTGTTAGTACCATTTTGGGGAAGACGGTACAATCTTAGAGTCGCTGTAGCTATGTTGCTGTTCTTGTTGTCTGAATTATAGTCGAAATCGAAGTAAAGATTCATTACTTCCTCCTCTCTCCAAAGGTCTTGGTCTTGATTTTGTGGGGGTTCACCTAGAACAACAGATTATATCCAAAAAATCCTTACGGGTTTTTCGCCACTGCACTGCAAGAAAAATCTACAAAATAAAATAGTTATTTTTTGTAAACACTTCTACGTTAAACCTAAACGGACGCTGCTTGTCAGAAGTTTTGTCAGAAGTGTTTACAGTAATAAAAATTTGCCTAACAAAGAAAAAAATGGTTAACGTTTCGGAAAGTTTTCTCTTTCCGTCGTTGGAAGCAAAAAAATATAAAGAATCAAGAAAAAAACTATTTAAAATATTTAAATTGAACTATTGGAGAACACTTTACTTTTTAAAACAGATACGTCTACAAGAAAACGTTGACGTTCTGTTAAAATGACATTATATTAAGTTAAACTTCAAAATTAACAATTACTACCTGATAATTACTTAATAAGGTAAAACCAAAAAGCTCAAACTTTCTGTATGATTATTTTTAAATTTTACGTATGTTATGTTTATTTATGTAATGTTCTTTAAAATCAAAGAAGCGATTGCCATACATTACTAACAATCTACAGATGCATGAGCAATACATTTATTTTTATTAGATTGAATTAAAAAAGCCTCTTTTATTTTTCTTTTAGAGGCTATCGCTTCTTTCATTATAATTTTGGCGTTATTAAAATTTATTCTGTGCCCTGTGTCCCATGAATGCTGACAAATCTTAGATTTGTGAAAATCTCCCTTTCTAAAATAATCTTTATGTTCTTTAATTCTAACATTTAAGGGTCTAGATGTTTCACCAATGTAAAATTTATCGCATTCACAGGGTATTTCGTATATTACATTTTTTGTTTGTTGTTCTGTATTCATTGGTTTAGTATGTTAAAAATAACTATTTTATTTTGTAGATTTTTCTTGCAGTGCAGTGGCGAAAAACCCATAAGGATTTTTTTGGATAGATGAATCCGCCACATAGGTATAGACATTTTTTACAACAGATTATAGTTGGGTAACAAACAAAACATTTTAATTTTAACACTGAATGAGTAGTAGTAAGTATCTAGAAATCTGATTTCTAAATCAAGTTATTTTTGTTTTGCAATTTTCGTGGTATATAAATCTACAAAACTTACAAGAAGGGTAGAAACTTCTGATTTTTTCTGTGATTTGGTCGTCGTCCAGCGTCGTGGTGTTCAATAATTTAGGAATAATCTCGGTTATATTGAAATCGGTTAGTGGCGGATCTTCGGGGGGTTTAGTAAATGTAGAATTGCTTCTGCCGATGTGATTTAAAATCTGTGATTTTAGATATTCCACCCAATTCTCTTTGCGTAACCTGGAAGAAGTAGAAAATGACATTTAAAGAAGTTTTAAAGAAAGAAATCGATATAATTTTATTAAATTATAGTTAAGAAAATCAGCAAAATGGTGTTAGTTTACTATAATTCAAAATCAGTAAATTTAATTGACCATTTTTGGCTCTTTTTTTCTAAGTTTTCAAGGCTTTTAGAAACTTAGTAAACATGGTCGTAAAATTATGAAAATTTCAGTATTTGTAGGAAATTTTGTGTAGTTGTGTTATTTTGGCCTTACAAGTCATACTAAACTTGTAAGGCCAAAATGGCCCATATTTTCGTGTTCTATGCCTGGTAACTAGTAAATAACATACAAAATACGAATTACAGGAAAATAGTTCGGTAGTATAGAAATCTAAACCTACACAATAAAACAGTTATTTTTTTGTTAAACTCCAATGCAGCTATCTACTATCTGTTTTTGCCATAGGTACAAAATTTTCTCACATACCGAACTGATATAACCATAATTTAACTGTAAATCCAATAGCAGTACGGTCAGTTTTCCAGGTACTCAGGACCGGCTTTCAGATTTTTCAAAAAGTTCTATTACTAACTTGGAAAAAAAACAGGTATTCTATATTTTTTTAGCCAATGTCTTCTTCAAAAGCGCCTATCTTCAACAAAAAAAGTGCCACCGAGATGAATCAAACAACAAACAACCGAGAAAGTATGCATCTTGATGGTAAAGTGGTTTTTAGATTCCTAACTTTGTTAAATCATTCCACAGGGTGTTTCAAAAAATCTTTCACCAAAATAACAACATTTTGATTTCCCTCGTATAATACATGGAGGGGTAATTACATTTTTAATTTAAAAAGAGGACTAAAAAGTCAAAAAATTTAGCTACCAGATGCTTAAAAAATCATCAAAATCGGCCCACTAGATCAAACTATATCGAACTTTAAAATACAGTATATGTAGAACAATCTGGTTGAGTACGGCCCTGTTTTAATTGCATTAAACAATATTTTACGGCATTTTTGCAGACGGTGGGCATTTTTACCATCCGCAGACTGGCAGAAATGTGAAGTTGTCGTTACCAAGTAGGGTTAGGCCTGTTCAACTAGCTGTTCTTACTTTCTTATTCTAATAATTCTATCACTAATGTCTAGGTCTGGTGCATACGCCGGACACCGGCTAGACGATCGCTAAAGCTGGTTACACACCGAATCGGTTTGTCTGTCTAATTTTGGTTTGCGTGTATTATTTGTAGAAACGTTGTTTCAGAGATTTGTTGTGCATAAAATAAAAATTTAGGAATTATATTATCTTATTAGTGTCTATTATAAATACTCCGAAATAATGGGCACCTAACCATCAATTCGAAGTTGGGCTAAGAATCCCTAGAGAAGCTGAACAAATTAGGCAAAGATAATAAAGTTCTCCTACTCAATAAAGCATAGAAGGTAATAAAAAAGCAAACGATCTAGCTAGAAAAGGAGGTAACACTTCACTAACTGGATGAGAACCGTTCTGCTTCCCAAGTGGAAACTCACTTAAATCGGAACTCAAGACCCTGGAAGACTCCATCCGTAACCTGGAATGGGAATCCTCCAACGGTCTAAGGCACTCGAAAACATTTCTCAGGACTTACGACCGAGAAAAATCAAAGATTTTCCTTGACTTAAGTAAGAACAATCTTCGGATTGTCACGAGATTTTTAACAGGACATTCTCTCGCACCAATGAAGACCTACCTCAGTAGTTTGAAGCTAAAAAATAACGGCGAATACAGATTCTGTGGGGAAAATGGGGAAACACCAGAACACCTCATCATAAACTTTGGTACGACTGATATCGGACATGGAGTACTAACCTTTGTAAAACGGACTCAGATACTGGCATTTGTCAAAGCCCTAACTTAGTATAGATAGATATAACTTTAAGAACATCTATGTTAATCTACTATAGAGAAACTACCAACTATAATATCTAATATAGGACGTATATGTATTAAAAAAAATTGTGCGTCAGATTTGGAGGTGTAGGGTAGGCTTTAACAGCGGTGCGCTCCGCTAGACTTCCTGGTCTATTGGATAAGTAAATGTTTCCAGTTATTAGTAATCGCTTATTAGTTACTCGCTGCTTTTAATTATCTTCGTCTAGACTAAGAGATGTAAACGACCTTAGGATATAGTTTCTGTACGAGCCAGCAACCAGCAAGCTGCCACAGGCCACAAGCCGTCCGTTTTTTTCACGAAATTTCGGAGAAACGAAGACATTTCTTTCTTCGTGTCATCGTCGAAAGCATTTTTGAACTTCCTCAATTCCAAATATTCTATGGATTCTATTCTAGAGATTTTTTGGCCACCTACCATTCTATGACCAATCTGACTCTAGGTATTTTTTATCTCTAGAAAAATTAAAGATTGCTCCTTTATATAGCTTTATTATTTTTTTTTAGTTTGAAAAATATTTCATTCAATAAAAACTCGATAAAAGATACATTGTTAGCAAAATTGGAGCTCAAATGTTTGATTACAGCCTAGGTCTAACTGGGTTAAATGCAACTTGCTAATGTTGTTCAACTTATAAATTATTATAGTAAGTTATGCAGTTGTTTGTACATCAAACTGGAATGAACCAATAAAAATCTTCGACTTTAAAGAAGCTAAACAGCAAAATAAAACACTAAATCACCACAATACACCAAAACACTTTTACTTTTACACTGGACGCGCGTTTCGCTAACCATGTTAGCATCATCAGCAGATGATTAAGACTGCGTCTAAGTCCAGTGTAAGAGTAAAAGTGTTTTGGTGTATTGTGGTGATTTAGTGTTTTATTTTGCTGTGTAACACCAAAGGTTCCAACCCCAACTGTCATTTTAAAGAAGCTCTTGCATAAAAAATACATATTTAATAAAGAATATCCCTTCCCATAATGCCACGTCTACACGTAAAGTTTTACTTGTTCAGTCAAGACGTTATAAACCTTTACAAAATTGTTTAGAGATATTTAATGATTATTACCAAACAATAATATTTTCACAATTAGCTTTGCGCCTTGCCTAACAGGTAAAACGTTACGTGTAAACGTGGCTTTAGTCGCTTTTTGCAGTAAAATGGTTCCTATATTCGATTCAAATTGCAATTTGACCTAAAACAGCTCCAATATCGACTGCAAAAAAATTGAGCCTACGCGAGCCACCAGACTAGACAGATTTCAGCCACGCTCGCATTCTGAAACGTGGATTTTTTGCTCTAGATTTGCCAGACGTAGTACCGCGCAAATCGAAATCGAATCATTTTGAAGTCGGTCTGAACATTGAAAATGACCAGTGTACAGTGGAGCAAAACGGTCCTTAACGGCCACAAGTCGAGGCATAAACACAAATATAGAGAACAATAATTGATTGGTTACAAATCATTCCAGATCGTTTCGTTAATCTGTTACCCGTTTGGAAAAAGAACCGTTTTTAAAGGATAAAGAATAAGAGTACGGGCCAAAATTACCATCGATTTTCATTCCCCAGCCCTCCATGACGTCTTTTTTTCGTCATATATTTGTAATGCTAAGTTAACGCTACTAGGAAGTCAAAAGAAGAAAGGAAACTAATGAATGAACAAACATCCTAAAAAAACGTAGACTTTTTTGTCTTCAATTCATGAATTTTATTCAAATAACTTGAATTGGGTCACAGAGAAGAATGTTCGTATAAAACAGACATTGAGTCTGTCTGAATAATACTTGCGTCCATTCCCAAATCCGGTTGTTTTTACATCTTATTATGCGGGGGTGTCGTATTTGTACAGTTCTAAGGGATTTAGGTTGAATTTGGCAACAAAATTACAAGCTTTATTAGACAGGCACTTGAAATGTAGGATTTTGCGATCTCAAATGTACTTAATTGATCTGTCTGATATTTTTGTGTTTATCAACTTTAATTGACCGAACACAATTCATTCTAGTTTGCAACTAGAACACAATATCAAAGTATATATTTTACTTATTCAGTTAATAAAGCTCCGTATACACGTACCGTTTTACCTGTTCAGTCAAAACTAAGACAAGTTATTTTATAGTGTTAAAATAGCCCCCTCTACAATGAATAATTCTCCTTTAATCGCTATACCAAGTGGTCTGGTAGACACCTCCATTAAATTACATAATTTAATAGAAAATAAAATGTTTTTGTATCTCTCTATACTTTTATGAGTTTACATGAGTTAGTTAAAAATATACACATAATAGAGACAATTTTGAATCGGCAATCGAACATTATTTAAAAAAATACTTGGTAAACATAAAAAAGTAATATTTTCACATATATTTATACTCGCAGCAATTTAAATATATTTTTTTTGGAGCACTGTAGACAAATGAATTTTTTACAAACTGTACAGAGATACTCCATTTTTTTTTATTTTGTAAGAGCACATATAGCAAAGAAGTTCTAGTCACTCCTCTTCAGCTGTTGTTTCGTTATACCGTAGTATCTTTCAATATTCAACCTAAACCATAGTTTTTTGGTATTTTTTGGGTTGAGCAACGTTTCTTCGATCATTAGATTTGTAATAGGGTTAGATTTGCAGTATAATATATGCATTTATGGGCCAACGTCAACCATTTGGAAAAAATCGTCATTGGCCAAATTAATAAAAAGCCCTCCTAAGGTTTACTAGTGATTAGATACGTTACAAAAATGACATCAGAATTGGGATTATCCTTTTTTAATAGAAGACAAAACTTTGAGAATTTTATTAGCTACTACACACTTTCGTATTGACATTATGCGACATCGTAAAGATCAAAATATTCGATATAAAGTTAAGCTGTTTTTACTGTTTTACAAAGCGGTTTTGTTTCTCCAGTTAACATAAAAAAGGGCGTCCATTAGCATGAAATTTGGCCTAAAACTCTACAAAGCCACTTCCCATAAGGCAAGCGGGCCGTCTAGAGTCTAGACTTGCAAAAAATTACTCGAGACGTTCCCGTTTTGCCATTATTTTACTCCAGTCCCGTTTTTTTTTGGAAGG